AAATTATTATTTTTGACCTGATATATAGAACTCAAAGCCCGAATTTATATAGGTTGAGAGCCTACACCCAACAAATACAAGATTAGCTTCAAATTAAAATGTGAATTTTCGTGATAGTTAAATGTTTGTTTTTATAGTCAAATTGCACTGTCACTAATTACCTTAACCATTGGATAATAATTATAATTTTAAAAAAAGCATGCAAACCTCAAAGTTAACAAAATAACGAAAGAATAATGGATAATAAATTCAACTCCAATTTAATGTCATAACGTTCAATTAAATACTCATATGATCACTGTATTGATTTAACTTTAATTAGTTGATAGTTACCCTTTTCTTCCAAGTTAAAACTATAATTTGTTAGATCCACTTAATTAAAATAAGCGTAGCCATCAGGTTTGATATTGTTAATATAAAGCTTTATATTATTAGTACAAACTCACAATATTTATTCTAATAATTTAATTTGTGTTAGTTAAATACTGCTGTATCAATAAAACTAATTTTAACACTTATCGTCACTCTTTTTCTTGTTAAAATATGCTTTTTTTTAGTGACAATTTTTTTTTAATTTCCGATGAACTTATTCATTGAAAATGACATTAAAAAAATATGTAAAATAATTTAGAATGCAAATATTTTTTTGACAAATAATTTTGTCTTAAATTTGTTTTAAGAAAATTAGAAATTTATCATTTTGACGATTAAACAATCAAAAGGAATTATATTATATAAACCTACATTTTCTTCAGACTAGTACATTGAAAATATCTAACAATTAACATAGTTTTCAATAATTTTTACTCAAATAGAAGAGAAAACTAGTTTAAATAAACTTACAAACTCAATCTACCCACTCAAAGTAAAAACAAAAAGAAAATTGGATTGAATGTGTTATTTTATAAAAGCTTGATCTTACTATAATTAAAAGCATTGCCTAACCTATGAAGATGGAGAAATAATTAAAATGTGGGACATATATATGCGTAATGGGATGAATGATACGAAGAATGAACCTAACTGTGATATCTCATAATGGAGATGACGACTTAAAATTTCAATAGTAGTATAAGGTATTATCTCCCCGGTGACGCCTCGGATCCCTCTCTTACTGAAATTTTAAAGTAAGAAAAGAACCCTTCATCATAGAAAAGATACAGGAAAGAGTAGAAAGCAAGCCTATGTACAACTATTAACTTAATTGTGACATCTCATAGAATTTGGAGATGGCGAACTAAAATTCCAATAGCATGAGTTACTATTTTTTCCCAGTGACACCTTGGATCCTTCTCTTACTACTTTTTAAACTATGGAAAATAACCCTTCATCATAGAAAAGAAACAGGGAAGAGTAGGAAGCAAGTCTATGTACAAAGAATATAATTTATCTACATATGATATTACTCGACATATAGAAATAATAAGGAAATCAACCGTAGCATTGAAAATAAAGAGAAAACCTATTAGCTTTACTTCAAAGATGCTACAACAAAATTTCTTAAAAAATTATGTTAGGGAGACAAAGTGAAAGATACAATAGTCGGTATGGGATTCTGTCCAAAATACTTTTTCCAACTCGCAGTTTCATGTTTAAATTTATCTTAAGTAACAAAAAAAAAGAGTGAATAACATAGTGAGAGGATAACCGTAGTAATTTTTTTTTATTATAACAAGGACAAAACAATCACAACACATGGATATTAACGTGCGAGCCTTTCCTATACTTTTGTTTTCTGAATTTTTTCCCCTTTCCGTTTCTTCATTTCTCTCCTTTTAGTTAGTGGTTAATGATTATATGTGGTCTTCACATTTGTATAATGTATAATTATTTGGTGACAAGGTTCTTATCAAGAAAAGGAGGGGAAAAGTAACAAAGGGAAAGGTGCCGGATGATGCCACAAAGGAGTTCTTGCTAAGTAACAGTTAACTTGGAGAGCTATCTTAATTATGCAACATTTTCATCATATAGAAGTTAAAAACATATTAGCTGGCTAATGAAAATGAAGCTCAATAGTGAAAGGTAAAGGGAACAGGATCTACACATATCACTAAAATTCAAAAGGTTCGTAGAGCCAACTCCAAAGTATTATAAACCAAAATTTCCCCCTTATTACTATATTTTAACACTTAAAAGGGTCTGCGGCCGGCTATAGAAACAACCCAAACTTAAAGTGTGGAGGCATTTAGACTTGCATTAATGCAATCACTGTATATATTCCAAAGGACTAAAATATTAACTTGTGACTGATCCTAGTCAGGACTTTTTAGTTTAAATTGGTAGTGTTTAATTATGGTACGTCTGTGCCAATTAGTAGAATGATGTTTAAGAGTGTGACATAACTTGGTTAACTAGTATCCATAGGCCATAATATATCATAAACTAAAACGACTTTAACTTTTTACTTTGCCTTGTAATTTGAAAATTAAAACTTAATTAATGACCTTAAGTACAAGCAATTATTAAGTCAGAATAAAAATTCCTGCAACCGTTACTTATGTATACCAATAAAGTTAAATTTCTGCAACATACATACTAGAGAAAAATAACGAGGATTATGGACGGAATGTTTAAAGAAATAATGCTAATGGAAACTTTAGTGAAATATTCATCGGTACTTAAACTTAATCATGATATTTTATTAAAAAATGAAGAAAATCAACTTATGATATCAACTCGTACTCGAAAGTAACAATGCTAATACGAAGGAAACTCAAAATAAATGATTTGAGTATGTGTAAATTTCTTTGATGTATACACACCATGACACCGCCGTAGCATTTTATTTTAAATAAAGTAAAAGAGGGCACTACATGTACTTAAAAACTAAATAGAAAGTGAACACCAGAAAGCCTATATTCTGATGTCCCAAAACAACAACCTATATATAACTAAGTTGCAATTATCGAAAGTGATAGATAACTTTGAAGTAGTTATATCAATTTAACTTTCAAAGGGCATGAAGGGTGAAGCTTTTATGTGTTGGAAACAACAATTCTATTCACATATAACAAAGCACTAAAGGGAAATGATAGATCTAGACAAATTTCTTGAGCAACCAAATTTCTGAATAGAAAAAAGGGGTAATCATGGTTATAGTGTTCCTAATGCTACCGACCCCTCTCACGAGCAATTGGGCCAAAACCTACTCATCCATTTCTAATTTTCTAGAGCTAAGCATGCAATCTTGTAAAATCAGGACCACATCTCAAAGATCTAAAACTTAGCTTAAGGAACTTCTCCCACATGCATTAGTGAGAATATAAAATTTAAAAACAATCAAGAGACATTGCTACAAATAGACGGGTGGTTTTTTAAAAATATTGGCATTGTTTGGCCGCCATTCCCAACATTTATCTTGCACCATCCTATTTTAGTTTGAGAAACTGAAAGATTAGCAAAAAGAGTAGAAAAGCATATAGTATTCATAAGAATAGTACGAACGAATTGGTGCCAATTCTTGTACTATTAAAAATTAAGACAAACCTTAAGATAAATTACCACACACATGTCGATGAGTAAATTATTTTCTCGTTTATTGAGAGGTACTTAAATTACGTTTTTTTAGTTTAAAATATATACAATACAATAGAAAATATATTAGAGAATCGTTCTGCATCATTTTAGTCATCCTCTAAATGGTTTAGATAATTGTTCTCCAAAATATGATTATGAATAATAAATATAAAAATTTGAAAATTTGTTTGAGTTTTTTTTTATAACTAAAATTAATTTATTGTTACATTTAAATTTAAATTTGTATGTTTGATATTTAAATTTTTTTTTATTTTTATCATAAAGCAAAGTTGATTCTTTGTCTAGTACGTTGAAACTTGTCTTTATATGTTGTGTTAATTAAATAGTCTATATTTGCATAAATCAAACACTTGTAACTAAAAAAAATAAAAATAAAGAGAGAATGAAAAAAACTATAAAAAATATATCTGCATGAAATAAATTAACTTTTTTAGAATAAAGAAGATGAATATAATCTATGAAAGAGACTAAAGATATTAATTTTGTTAGTAAAGAAAACTTATAAATATAAGAGAGACTAATTTTATTAAGATAAAAAAGATGAAAAGATTTATAAGTTATAAGTTAAGTGTACTTTATTTATAAAATAAAAATTGCTAAATATTTTAAAATTTTAATTTATAAAAAAAATATATTTTAGAGAACGTGTCTTTATAACGATTTGAATATTAACTACTCTTTAAATATATTATTACAAAATAATTTCTATTGATCGTTACATAAATTAATGCTTAAAAAACTTATTTCTAATGTAATGATACTTTTATATCTTTTTGATATAAAAATGAAATATACTTTAATTCTTTTTAATATAAACACAATTCTTAATGATAATAAATAATAATAAACGTGCTTTCTAATAATATTTTATTATTTTTAATTATCAGTAATAACTAATTTTAAACATCTTATTATTAGTTAAAAAATTTCATTTTAAATTTTTATTTTATCTTTAAAAAATATATAATTAATATAATATATATTATAATTAAATGATAATTTTGGCAAAGTATTATTGCAAGAGAAAAAAAATCTCAAAATTATATATTTACATTAAAATATATTTAAATACAATATATATTCAACTGTTGAGAAAATATATAATTTATTTTGTATATTATTATTATTATTATTGATTTCTAATTAAAATCATTATAACCAAAATGAACAGCAAGATAGATATCGATGATGAATTTGATTAGACAAAAAAAAAACATCATATTTAAGTTCTATCAGTAAAATCCAAGTTAGTAGAGCGACAAAGAAAATGATGAAGATGAAGAGAGAGAAAGAGGAAGTGACGTTATAGTAAATTTAAAAATAAAATAATAATAATAAACAGGGGGAATAGTACTAATAGGAGGTGGAGGGACCCTGCTATGCATGAAAAGCAACGGTGATTGGTGGATTACTTTCCATTACACTTGTACACTTTAATCTCTCTTCTTCGCCCTCTCACTTCCACTTTCTCTCTCCTTTGTGTGTGTGTGTGTGTGTTTGCGCGTGCTTTTGCTTCATATTCTGCCGACATCACTCCAATCTAATGGGGGTTAACTCTGCTTCTGCGTAGGATCCGATGCTGCTACTCCTAACTCCTTCTTTTGCTTCTACTACTGAGTTTCATATGTAAGTTCTCTCCCTTTCTTTGTTTCTTCTCCTTCTTGAAGTTAACGGGTGTCAACTCACTCTATTCATCTTGACTTTTATGTTTTTTGATATATGTGTTTAAGGTTGTGTTGGTGGTATTACTTGGTTGGTGTATGTGGGTATTGTATTTCGTATATGTGTTCATTTCTGGTCCATTGTTTGTATTTTTCTGTTGGTATAGTTGTTGGGGTGTGCCTTTCTTGATTGTAATTCCCATCTTACTTTTGTCTCTTTCATGTTATCTTCACTTTTATGTTCCGCTTTCAAGCTTTAAAGTTTCACTTTTTATTGCTTTGGCTTTCTAGAATAATCTTAAAATTATTTTCTGTATTATCATTATTATTGTTGATGAGTTATGGAAATTGAATTTCATTTTTTGATGTGTATTTCAATTCAGCTCCTTGCTGTTGACGCTTATGCTGAAGACTGGATAAAAATCTGAGGTAGAGCATACTATTTATATGCAAATTCTCCCTTCTGTTCTTTTTCTTTCTTGCAAAGTTTGAAATTTTAAAATTGTATGTTGTTAAATACCTTATTGTTTCGCTTGTTTTGTTACTTGTTTTTCCATCTTTGCCTACAGGAAGTTTAGTTGTTTACTTTACACCGACAAAATTAACATAGAAATCATCTTTTGGAGGCTTTATGGCGATGCAAACTGTTTATGTTAAAGAACATGAGGGAAATGCACACAATTTTGTGGGGCAGTTGTCATCTGCAACTTCAGCACCTTGGTGGAGTGCCTTTGGATCTCAATCCGTTTATGGGGAGTCATGCGGCCAAATGAAACCCTTTTCATTGGAGCTTCCTACCTGCATGGACCAGCTTGCTGCCAACAAGTCATCAGCAAGAGGAGCTGAACAAGTGTTGGGTAAAGGACATACAACTCAGTTTACCATCTTTCCAGGTACTTTATTTGGTTTTGGTATGTGTCTCTGTATTTGAGCTGTATAAGTTAGGTACTTGTATTTACACCAAAATAGTAATTGACATTAACCATGATAGAGTTCTGAGTATAAACACACAGATATCACAAAAGCTAGTTCCTGTGCATCCTTTTGCCATTTAGTTTTGGGAGATGAATATCATGTGAGGTGGCCTAAGATACAGAAAAATGTAAATGATACAATCTATCTGTGCAAAATCTAATGGATGGAGGCTGCAGATATCATTGTAGCTGTGGTCAGCTTGGGAAATCAAAGATAAAAGCAAACAATATTTATGTTATCAAGCTTTGGCTGGATAGAAACTACTTTTCAGCTTTCCTTTCTAAAATAAACTCTTTGGTTCTTTTTGCTCTCATAAATGGAACATGGTTAAATAGCTTTGATACAAGGGCCTACTTTTCTTTACAGACATATTCCTGGTTGAGAGGAGAAATATTTGCAAATAATTAGGTTGCTGTTTAGAATGATGAGTTGCCATCTCCACAAGGAAATGAATTATACGTATGATATGAAAGATCTAATGACTCCAAGTTAATCTTTCATGTTGATTTACTGATTTTAGTGTGCGATATATGTTGTGCTTACTGAGTTGTGCTAGAGAAAGAAAGATAAAAATGCCTCCTTTGAGAACATTGAATAGGAGAGTTGACCCCTTTCCCCAAAGAAATAAAAAGATTAAATTAGTCATTTGGTCCTATAGTTTCACTCCAAACTTAATTTTGTTTCTACAGTTCAAAACCCTTTAATAGGACCCCTATAATTTTCAAAAAATTTAAAATGGTTCCTATTATAGTCATATAATTTCATTCTAAACAGGGAATAAATCCAATTAACATGGTTCATTTGCAATTTCGCGTTGTTTCAAACAAAATGACAGGGACTCATCAAAAGGTTTTGAAATATAAACTATAGGGACTAAATTGAACTATGAGAACCAAATCATTAATTTTTTGAAAAATGCAATAGAGAGCCTTTCAATACCAAATTGGTTTGAATTGCAAGGAAACCGCTTTCCATATGCACCTCACAAGGAACTTCTGCTTTGCTGTATTTCACAAGCTAAGATACTTCAGGAGGAAGTCAATAGATTTAGCTAAGATGGATTGAATCTTGAAACATGCTAGCAGTTGATAGAAGGGAGACAATCAATAGGATAAATTCACTCAGACTTTCACACACATACAGAGAGAGAGAGAGAGAGAGAGAGAGAGTTGTATTTGTGTCTTTAAATAATTTGTATTACGGATGAGGCTAATGGGTGCATGAAGAATGATTCCTGTTCCCCTGTTCCATCTTCTCATTCTGTCTTCCAAAGTTCCATTAAAGGTTGTGATCATGAAATTGCTGATTATTCAATTGTAAGAATGTGCGTCTTTCGCACACACTTGAAATTGAATCATTCTTGGCTTAAGTTCTGAATCTAAAATTATGTCAGACTCCAATAGAATTGTTGATTGCTTTAAATTATCAGAGAAAAGCTATTCTATGTTTTTAGTTTTCAATTGTTTGAGGTGACAGTGTTTGCTGCACATGACTCATCAACTTTCCTGCGGGTAACCATTAAGATGTTTCCTCTTCAGATGATAGCAAAATGTCAGATGGTGCACAAAAGCCTCAGACATCCATATCACTGCAGTCATCACTCACTGATTCTCACCCTCGTTTTGAGCTAGGATTTAGTCAGCCCATGGTAAAACTTTGTTAAAAGATAATCACTTTGATATTTAAACTTTGATTTTTTGTAAACATATTTTGCTTATGGTTGGTATTTTTCCCTTTGTAGATATATGCAAAATATCCTTATATGGATCAATTTTATGGGCTCTTCTCAACTTATGCACCTCAAATTTCGGTTCGTCTTTTACTTCAGCAAGCTTCTAAATCCATATAGACCATACTACGCTTTTAAACATGCTTTTGCTCTTAGTTACCGTTTAGTGATCTAGTTCACTGTTTACTAAATCATCCATGTATCATCTGTAACAATTTAGGGACGTATAATGCTGCCACATAACATGACATCTGATGATGGACCAATTTACGTAAATGCTAAGCAGTACCATGGAATCATTAGACGCCGGCAGTCTCGTGCCAAAGCTGTACTTGATCAAAAATTGACTAAATGTCGCAAGGTATGATTGCCCATATGAAAATGTCACAATTTTTTTGTCATCTTTAAACTAATGAATATAATGTGGCCTCAGCCTCACTGGCCTTGAAAGAATGTAGTTGTGCTAGGATGGTATTTTTGTGGAAAGTGCGACATTTTCTCTGTCAGAGTGCAAAGCAACGTTTGTTAGCTACATGCTGTGGAAATATTCTGTTATTCTTGTGTTTTTGTCTAGTAGAAATAATATGATGATATGATATGAAGTACGTTTAAATTTTTTTAACAAATTATAAGTTTTATCATTAAGGCATTTGTGTATTCAATGATCCAGTCACTCACATATACTATCTTGATTACAAACTTTGACTACATATGAAAAAACATCCTTTCCTTTTCACTTTATATAGATATTTGAGTTTAAGTTTGTCTTACAGCCCTATATGCATGAGTCGCGCCATCTCCATGCAATGCGGCGACCAAGAGGATGTGGTGGTCGCTTCTTGAACACAAGGAGTTCTGTTAATGAAAATGGTAACAGTGGAAGGAAAGTGAATAAAAGTGTTGGTGAACAATTGCAGTCCAGTGGCTCTCAGAGTTCTGAAGTTCTTCATTCTGAGGCTGGAACTTTGAATTCATCAAAGGAGACTAATGGAAGCAGTCCAAATATTTCTGGTTCAGAGGTGACTAGCATGTATTCAAGGGGAGGCCTTGATAGCTTTGGTAATCATCTTGGATCTGCTGTCCACTCTTTTGCAGACATGATAGGTGGTGGGCGTGGTATGATCATACCCCCCAAATGGGTTGCAGCAGCAGATAACTGCTGCAACCTTAAAGTTTGATTGACAAAGAACTAATGAGACCAGATGAAGAAGCTTTGTTTCAGTTTCTTGTGTTGACTGTGACAAGTTTCGTTCTGTAGGCATGACCTAACATCTGGTTTTTAAGGCAATCCATCCTTGGCTCATAGGCAAATCATCCTTGGCTCATTGTACTTGTAGTACTGTCTGTTTTCTGCACAGGAGACTGTCTTTGGCATGGTATATGGTACTAGCTAATGACCTTGATATCCTGGTACAGAAGACAATTGTGTGTTTGTCTTGTGTGAAAATAAAAGCACGAAATTCTAGTTGTGTGCTATTAATAATGTCTGAAGTGGTGTTGTATTCTGTGTGTGTCCTTGAGGAGCATTGTATCATAGAACTTTGGCATGTGATTTTTGTTAAAAAAAAATTAAGTATTGGTGTGATGTTCTCCCTTGAGTCTTGAGCAACGCCAAAAATTTGTTTCTTTTGCATTTGGAAAATAGCGAGTATAACAATCAGTCCCAACCCATGACAAATACCTTTTCGATTTTTGTGAAGGGAGTTAAATGCATTTTGGAATTAATATTTCTGAAGAATATATTTTATACATTCTAGAATTAAATTTCCGGATAAAAAAAGAGTGTAAAAAGAAATTTCCAAAATCTTGGGGGTGATTTGTGACCTAACAAGTGTAACAATTCACCATCCATTGAGATCTGAAACTAAGTTTTCTCGAATTCGCATACATATTTCTCTTTTAGAAATCAATTTACATGAGAGGAGAAAAATTCCAGCTGGTAAGAATGAAACTGACCACACATTTTGAAGTGATGCTCAGTTCGAGATAGCTCCACTTTCAACTAAGCACCCAAAACTTCCCATAAAAACCTTAATGTAAGATTTTATAAACAGAACTATCTTTCTCAAAATATACTCTTGATCTCTTTAAAATAATATTTGTAATATCACATTTTTTTAAATAAACTAGAAATGTGACCTGTACACAAATAAATTATTATGTCATAATATAATATTATAATTAATAATTATAAAATAAAAAAATAACTTTATAAAATATTTATGATAATATTTATATTATTTTTAAAATTAAAATTAATTAATACATATTAACATTATTATTAATAAAAATATTTTATATATTGCATTAAACTTACAATATACTTTTAAATATTTTTAAATTAACTTTAAAAGTAAAAGAATTAGACTCAAATATTATTTTAATTTATAAAATAATAATTTTGATTTTATAAAGTTTAAAAATAACTCTTATAATTAATTTATAATAATGTAACATGCATACATACTACAATATTAATGATTAATAATAAAAAAATTAATTTTAATATATTTAAAATTTTTTTAAGTCTAAAATTATTGAAGGAATAAAATAAATATTAACTATATTTATAAATACTAAAAAATATCTTATCTTACAAAATTATATAGCACATAATTTAGATATAACAAATATTAATTCTCTTATGCCTGATAAATATGCTAGTGCATTACATGAATTTGCACAAATATATAAAAATAATTATTTTTAATATAACAAAAACATAAAAAATGTTAAGTAAAAATTTTAATTGTTTTTCAAAAAAATTATAAAAAATAAATATAACAGTTAAAATTAATTTATATATAAATTTAAATATTATAAATCTTAATAATAATAATATAATTATAAATTATTAAATATATTTATGTGTACACAAATTTGTTTATTAAATTTTTATTTTAAAATAAAAATTATAATTTAAATATAAAAAATATATAATAATAAAATTTTATTATATTAAATAATGTCAAAATATAATTAGATTGAAAAAGATGATAAATACGTTGTAAAGCATTGAATTTTCCACTCAATAACAAAACCATACAAATGATAACGATGATTTTATTTTAGTTTTCGAGTATTTTCTTAAAAGGGATGTGTGCAAAGAAGTGAGAGTAACATTTGGACGTGTTCCGAGTGGTAGCAAAGAAACCTTATCCTTCTCACCTGTCAATTGGAAAGCACCAACTCAAAAATGAATGCCTCACTTGTTACATTCACTTCTCAATTCTGAAACCACAACCTTCTCTCTCTCTATCTCAATGACTACTACAGCTTCTGTTTCCTCTTCTATCTGCAATAGAATCTACAACTTCTCCTTTACCCACTCTTCCATTTCACTCACCAGCAACTTCCCTCAAAGACCCGTATCCCAGAAACCTCTCAACCTCAACGTTAAATATCAAAGTTTCAGCCTTTCCTTTCTCCCACTTCACCGTCTTCACCCACCTTTTGCTGCCTTTGATGGATTAGAAGTGGCTCAAGACAGCACAGAGTCCCAAGAAGAAGAGTCAGAACCACAAACCTTTGAAAACCCACAACAAGAGGAAGAGCAAAGAGTTTCAGACTCAAACGATGCTGGAAGGCTCTATGTTGGAAACTTGCCATTTTCAATGACTAATTCTCAATTGGCTGAGATCTTTGGAGAAGCTGGCACTGTGATGTCTGTTGAGGTTTATTCTTTTTTGCTGCTTTTGAATTCCCTTTTCTCCTTTTGTGCTTATTTTCCTGTTTGATTGATAAATTTAAGATTTTTGTGGAGCAATCTAACATGGGTTTGTGCTTGTTTTGCTTGATTGAATTCTATAGATTGTGTATGACCGTGTCACGGATAGAAGCAGAGGATTTGCATTTGTTACAATGGGGAGGGTTGAGGATGCTAAAGAGGCAATTGGAATGTTTGATGGCTCTGTAAGTCTTGTACATTAGCTGCAACATAATTTGATTCATTTATGCTATGTTCATCAATCATAATGATACAGTGTTGATCTTCCCTACTGTATGTTTCACTATTCCATTACTGAGTTGTTGAAGGATGATGAAGTCCTCATGAGTTATAGTATAGCTAGTGTCAATCGCTCGGGTTATAATGTGATCAAATCATGCACTTAGATTAATCTATGAATAAATTGAATAATTTTTATTTATATATTAAATAAATAATTTGGCATTTCAAAATATTTTATAAATAAAATATATGATGAATATATTACACAACCTATTCATTATTCTTTAGAAATGAAAAGTTCCAGGTTGCAAAGGAGGGTTCTCTTTTCTTTTTTGGCGCTATTTATACTAATAGTTATCTATCTTAGTATCTAATAATGTATTATGGCAAAACAATGTGGGTTAACTGGGAGTTATACGAAGTTCCATCAGTTTGTTGATGGCAACTCTAGGAGTGGATGCAATCAGAATAATAGTGCATTCTTTAAAACTTGGTTATAAATTAGTTGTGAGGGCATTTTAATTTGCCTTGCCTTATTGTCATTTTGGAAGGCAATATTCTTCCAGAACACATCTCTTTTTTTGTGTTGGTCTTGTATCTTGTAAAAAGCTACACTCTAATGTCACCGCCAGACCATCAAATTATTTTATTAAGTCTTGATTGCAGCTGAGTTTTCTAAGATAAATTATCATCACAATTGATATTTTAGTGTATGAAGAGTTTGATGCTTATGTTGATGACCATTTTGGTGAACAGCAAGTTGGTGGTAGAACTGTTAAGGTAAACTTCCCAGAGGTGCCCAAAGGAGGAGAAAGGTTAGTAATGCGACCAAAAATACGGAACAACTACAGAGGTTTTGTGGACAGCCCTCACAAGATCTATGCTGGAAACCTTGGCTGGGGACTCACCTCACAGGGTCTTACAGAAGCTTTTGCAGAGCAGCCAGGTTTATTGAGTGCTAAGGTCATCTATGAGAGGGACAGTGGAAGATCTCGAGGCTTCGGCTTTGTTTCTTTTGAAACTGCTGAGGATGCAGCGGCTGCTTTGGAAGTTATGAATGGTGTGGTAAGAACAATTTTGGTACATTAATTTTGCAATTTCAAATTCATTTTATTATATCAGTGTGTAACTATATAATCTCATTCCTTCCATGTGCTATGTAATGTTTTACAGGATGTACAAGGTCGGCCCTTACGGTTGAATTTGGCTGAAGCGAGGGCGCCTTCATCTCCTCCAGTAATTGAGGAAAATGCAGGAAGCAGTGTTGATAGCTCGGAATTGCTGACTAGTGCCAGCACATGAAGAAATATAATCGATCAAATTTTGTCCGTAAAATGCACACATCATTTAGCTTCTTCCCTGAAGGTTCCTCTTGTCAAATTTCCTCTTAATTGCTGGTCACATTGGTATACACTAACTAGCCCTTCAGGCAGTTGTGAGATGTACCTGATATTGAACATATCTATACAAGGGTTTGATTTTAATTATACAGTTTGTAATTATGAACGACAAACATTCAGAGTTTGAACTAATAATCTATTCAAGTGAGAAATAATGTTGAAATGGAAGCGAAGGAAACATAGATGGGAACCACTAATTTGCAACGATATGCAGCTATCCCTTGGACAACACAACTTAGATCAGAACCACTAATTCGCAACGACAGTTAATTTTGCATTAGAGTTTTTTTTTTTTTTTTTGACAAAAAAAAGTATCATGAAACGAAAAATAAGAGGTGGAATTTTAAATCACGCTTTTAGAACAATATCCACCCTTCAACTAGTTAGCTGAATGACATTTTCAAACAAAGTATGATATTGAGTAACACTGATCACTTATACCAGCCTTGAATTCATGCTGACAGTGAAAATTAATACATATAAATGAAAAACAACTACAATTTTTCGAGGCATTGCAGACTGACCTCCAATCACCCCCTCTTAGATTACTCAGTCATGCCATCATAATCATCACCACGGCTTATCGGATCCTTTGGTCTTCCTGTTTAGTATTGTAGTTTTGTACATTATAAGTTCATGAAAATAGAATTCAACAATTTGTGATACACTCTTCAGACTGGCCTCCAAAATCTGTTCTTGAACTGTCACTTCCGAGAAAGGGACCGGACCGGACCGGACACATAATCTCAGTTTCACTTCAAGTTCACTAGAAAGCTTTCTCAAGAAAATGAGGACTTGGACCGCAGAACAGCTCCGAATAAAAGCAAAGAGAAGAGCCAAGTCACCACTAAGTTTGTTATGAAGAATTACCATCATCTAGAAGAGCATCAGCTGCAGAATCCAGGTCATGAGGGAAAAAAACCCTGCAAAGCAATATTTTTACTGGAGCTTCAGAATAAATATTAGGTAAACAATACACACACTCCCAATAGAATACCAAAAGAGACAATCCATAGTGCCAAGTCACCGGCAAATTAGGCAAGCAGCACGGCATTCAGTTCATTTTATTATTTACAGTATTCTTGTACTGGTCCAACATGCAGTCCAAATAAAACTCTTATCGTTTCATCAGTAGGCAATTAGTTCTATTTAAGTTCATTTTTTTAAAATTATACATTAGGAAAACCCACTAATCCAAGCCATGTTTGGCCCAACCTGAATTTGGCTAGGCTTACCATGGGTCTGACACCTCAGTCAGTAAGCATAGTAGTCAATTTTGAATAGCAGCACGAAACGGCCAATCCAAAAAATGCTTATAGCAGCATAGCGAATAGCGGGATGACCGCTATTTTGAAGTTCTAAATATTATACCTAATATAAAAATAATATTCAAAACAGAAAGAAATAAAAAACAGAGATAGAGATAAAAAAAACAAATAAGAAAATAGAGAATTGATCAGTCACTAAAAAATGTGCAAGTTAGTCGGATGTTTTATCAAAGATGAAGAAGATGACCGAAAATGCCTGGATCACATTCGAAGCTTCGCCGGAGTTGAAGAAGACAACCGGAGATGAAGACGATCGGAACACGTCTTTGCCAGAGACGAAGAAGATAAACGGAGGATGACTCTATCATGTCAGAAGCCTCGCCGAAGATGAAGAAGGACATTGAAAGCAAGAGAATGTTACAGAGAACAAAGATGGGGAAGAACGAACTAGAGAACTGAGAGACAAAAATGAAACTTAGGGCTCATGAGGAAGAAGATATCAGAAATGTAAAAGGGGACAAAATCCCAAGATTACCCCTATTTGAAGATGTCTAACGTTAAGAAAGCAAGGGCAAAGGCAGGTTTTGGCCGGGGATGAAATAACGGCCGCTATGGCTGCGATTCTCCCGCGATTTGGCCGCTATTCGCGGTGCAATGGCCGCTCTACTGAAAAGCGACGTTATAAGCTCCCCATAGTGGCGACCTGCCGCTTTGCTCTGCTCCTCTGCGATAGTGGCCGCTATGGCCGCTATTGACTACTATGTCAATAAGTTCTATTTATTGCTTTTATACTTCAAGAGTTTACCTTTTTGTTGCTTTTCCAGAAAACACATAAGATCAATAATTCTACAAATTATTACTTCCATGGTGGGTAATGGAACAAGTCCACAAGTGTTGTGGTACAACATAGATAGATAATTTTTTCATATTTATTTCTTTTTTTTTTTCCTAATTTTTTTTTTGAAGAAATTCTAATTTTTTCTATTTTACAAACTATCAAAATAAAGTAGCAAATTTATTCATACAATATCAAATTTGAATTGTATTGAGTTTTATTAATGATAAAAAACTTTAAGTGAAAGTTTTTTCTTTCTCACATTCATTTCCATTTATTGCCGGAAAAATATCGTATGCATCGATATGAAAAGAAAATATTTAATACATAAAGACATGATTTGTAAAAAAAAACAAATCTTCTTTTAAGAAATGCGAGTTTTGGAATAGGAATAAATAAACAAACAAGCTATGTTACCTGCAAGTGTTGTGGTACAATATTCTGCTGAGGTTAGCCACGTCATTGATGCCTTTACAACCAGCAACCACCTCAAGAACTTGCCTGGAAAATTACAGTCGTATTATTTAAAGAGGTCTAGTTCTACAAGAGCAAAAAATAACAGATCATGCCAAGAGTGGTTAAATATTAGCAAACTTGAATTTTCCAAGCCACAATTATATTCACCAGACAACATTTCTCACGGTAATATTACCACAATGATATAGATGCAGTCAAGAAACTTGAAAGTAGGAGCAACCAGCTCAAGCACAACCATCCCACTTACTTAACTAAACAAGGTTCATTGCGGCCTTTAACGATGAATTCTTGATCATACTTCTCTTTCTTCTTAGAAGGCCATGTAGATTTAACAAAACCAATTCCTGCATGAGTATTCTTGATTTCACAGTATGGTGAGTCTGTCTCAATCATCAGTCTTTCTACAGGAATACCTTTCACAACATCAAGGTTCTCAGTTGTCTTCAAAGAGCACCCATTTATGCCTGTCACAGAACCAAAGATATGTACTATTCATGAGATTTGACTGGAATTTTAGCATTCAATTACCACAACCCAATATCCGAAAGTAAAAATTTATGCACCACAACCCAATATCTGAAAGTAAAAATTTATGCACGTTAACTAACAAGGAAATAAATATTCAAAGTTCAAACCAATATGCTCTACAGAAACACACAATTAGCCTTTACATACCAAGCACATCACTTATTTGTTGATTATTTTAATATGAAAACACCAAAACCAAAGTTATGCAAAAACACAAAGCTTTCCTGAAGTATATTTATCCTTTTATCTTAATAAACAGAAATTATCACGACAAAAATTTGCTTGGGTTATTTTTTTAGAAAACGCAAAGACTAAAATTAGACATACCTAGATGACTTCAAATAGGTTAACTTTTATAAAAAAGCTTGAATGGACGGATTTACCTATGTACATTTTATCAAATGAGAGAAGCTTAATGCTATCATCCATACTACCAGTAAATGAATGGGTGACTCCAGCAGTGAATCTGACATATAAGTAGGAATGATTAGTCCATTTCCCATCTTGGAAGTGATTATACTATAAAATACAAGAAAGAAAAACAAATGCGCTTACATTTTAACACTTGTGTTGTGGGCTTGCATATTAAGCATGAGGATAAATGAGATTAAAAAAAGAATCATGGTTATTTATTCCTTATTTGCTAGTAATTTTTGTATAATATGAGTGTCAAGGCCTCAAGGTAATTTTAACCCTTAAATGATAGATTTAAGAGTTAGAAAAGAACCATTAGTATCTCCAAAAAAAGGCCTCAATTCCTGATGTTAATGGAACTGTCTAATCCTTACAATTAACTTCATGTCCCGAGACAAACAGAATGGTAAGCTAAACAAGAAACACCATAATGAAGAGTGATTTGAATATTGTCAATGTCAAAATAGTGAGATCCAGCACCTGTCCTTATTTTTCTCCACTATTTCACAGAAATCTGCAGCAGCTGCTCGCATGTGCAAAAACATAGGCAGTTTTGTGATATATGCTAATTCAAATTGCTTCTCAAAATACCTTGCTTTCACGGGAAGAAAAACAAATTCATTAATGATTTTAAATATATTACAAAAAACAATAACAGGGAGAGAAAAAGAGCTAAAATGACACATTAACAATATTATGCTGAGACTGCATACTTTTTTTGAATCTCTGCTGGGCAAAAGTGAAGCCTGTCATAGTCCAATCCACATTCTCCAATTGCAACCACCTTTCATATGAAGAAAAGTAAGAAGAATATTAGCAGTTATTTCTAAATAGTTACTTGTGCACTAGTTGATGAGTTATAACACAAGTTCTGCCACTATATGAGAACGACAGACACAGTGGCAGTGCTTAGTGAGTATTTTTATTACAAATGAGGAGGAATTCAACTATGTTAACTCATGTACTAAGTGAATAAATTAATAAGATTCAGAACCACGTAGGTCTGAAGTATCTACTTCAGAGTAAGAAATGTTTGATAGTTGTCTTGTCTTACCGCTAGAGTATAAGCATACCTTTCCTTTCTGAATTCCCTCTTTAGCTAAAGTCAAAAGAGCCTGAAAATGCTTTTCTGGATCTCCACTCTCCTCAAATTCCTGAACCAATACACGAATTCTTAGTTACAAACACTTCCATCCAAAGTCCAAACCACTGCTCTTGGAAAAAGAGCTCCTAAAGGAGAAAAGCAACCTTGCAACGTGTTGGATGCACCCCAACTGTGCAGAAAAGTCGCCCTGTGATTGATCAATAAATCATCAAATTAGCGAAAATCCACATTCTACATCTGAAAGTCACCAAGAGAAAGCGATGGTAACATGACAAACCATCTGTTTCTGCAATTGCAAGCGCTTCCCTTGATTCCTCAAGGGACCCACCAGTTACCTGCAACACAGAAAAACAAAGTCCTAACTAACCAGTAACCACAAACCATCCACACATAGAACACATATTATACTTTATGGAATCACATTGATTTCTACAAAACCTTGTCCAAACAAATTCCCTCATTTTAGCACCAGATTCTACGTTCAACAGATTTAAACACTTGACGCATCTCAAGCTCTCCCAATTCAATCATATACAAGCTTCTTCAACATTCAATTTCATAAAATAAGTCTAAAATTTACTTAATTGTCTTAATCAATGATTAAATCACATCGAACAAGTTGAGAAATAGAACATAATTACAATAATTCGGTGGACGCCAGCAGCCCAGGCCCTGGTCAAAACGGTTGGAATATCTGATAGGTGACATTGCTTGCCGTTGTAGATTCCCTTAAACATGCCATCTGCAACTTTTCGAATCAGAAACAGAACAGAAAGACTGAAAACGAACAAGTGTTTGATAAAATGCCTCACCGGTGAAGTTGACGGCTATATCTGCATTTGTTTCGTTGCGAGAAAAGAGATTGTCAGTCTGTATTTCAATCGAATCCAAATGCAAATGTGAAGTAAATTTGTGTTACTTTTCTTACCTATCATTCGAATACTTGCCATGTCTGATTCAATTGCCTTAAGAAATGGACCAACTCACTGAATAACGTGCAAACGGAGTACTCGTTCATATCGTAGATACGGTAACACACAACGGGAACAGTGTTATTGGGCCTGTCTTTGGGCTGGGCCCAATCTTTCGCTCTATCTCATGTTTGTGAAACGGGCAATAATTTCCCTCAAGTGTCTTCTAATTGAATGCTTCATTTTATATCGCTGAAAATTTACCTTCTTTCTTAAAAAAGTGAATGAATGCATGTTATTATGCTCTTTGTTTATTGAGACATTTAGTTCCAGGGTTCAACCCTAGGTGTATTGTCAGATTTAGACATTATTACATTATTTTTAATGTAAAAAAGTGAATAAATGCATGCTATTATTGATTATATTAACTTTTTTAATGTTTAAATAATGCAATTATTAGTTTTTTTTCCCATATTGGCAAGAAAATGAGTGAAGGGGAAAAATAAATCTTTCCCCATCACATATTTCATTAACACATATATTTTACGTCCATAAAAGTTGTGAAATGATAAATAATGCGATGAAAAGAATGAATATAAGAAAATCGTTAATAAGGTGAGCTAGAACAAACATAATAATTAAATAAACTCCTGAAAAATAATCAGATTCCTTATTAACTGATATTACAAACTTATTGAAAATCAACAACAAAAAACGTATTGAAAGTTTTAGAAACCTATAAATATACACAATCACGTATATATACGCACCCCCCAAAAAAATGTAGGTCACGCCAACAATACAGTATTATATATGCACACTTCCTTGTTAACATGAACAAAATCATCCCGCTGTAACCCTTTTTCTCCGATCTTTTCCCTTTGATCCTAAATCAATCTTCATAGCCACCACACACCGATTATCAGAGGCCATACCAACCCATTAATTTTACAGTGTGATCAGTTTCTGAAAACAACAGGGAGAGCAATAACTAATATGATAATCAGTAGAAGTATGGCAAAACAGGTCCATTGACGAGTGTTCTTCTGTTGATTCCTAACAACCTGCAACTGCTGCACCCCTTTACTCACCGACGAATTGGCTAGTGCCACGTGGCTCTCTATGTCATCCAATTGTTCACCCTGCGTTTGGACCAGCAGTGCCATGTCCAAGAACACTTGGTGCAGCTCGTTTAGGCTTCTCTCTATCTCTTTGACCGTCCCATGCCTCTCCTGAATCTCTTGGATGGTGGTCATGATGGTGGCTTTTCCTTGCTGTTGGATAGCTTTCTTTAAGAAAGTTTCACTCTCACCTGCTCCACCACATGCAATGGATATATATATATATGTATGCGTCATCCCCTTCAATTTTACACTATGCACTTCTCACACAATGATAATGAAAGACCAAAATGAAAAAGAAAACACTAAAATCTGAATAATCAAGGAGACGTTTTTTCCTACATTTTGTTTGACCTAACTAATTTTGCTAAATTTATCTTCACGTCCTCAGTTACTAGCTAGCTAAAATTTCGCCTCATGCAATTGTGAACCATTAAAAGACAATTCCGTAGTATCACAAAAGTTCGAGGTCTGATATATATCTGTGCTGAGTTAAATGAATTTAAAAATAAAAGTGAAACAAAAATGATCATTGATGCCTTTCGGGTGACACACCCCAAGTGAAAAGAGATTAATGAAAAGAAAAAGTGATGAATATAAAATGATACGATGTCAAAAGAAAAGAGATATTGAAAGATATAAGAATAACTTCAACATAATAACAAGCAATATACTAAATTTTTATTGCACCTAGTTTGAGAGAACATTTAATTGTAAGAAACAATAGCATAGGAAAAAAAAAAAAAGACCTACCTTGTCAATTGCAAGAATCAAGATACTCTATGGGGTGATTGAAAAAGTTGGACAGTGAAAAAATTAGGATTTGAAACTGAAATAAAAAGATTACCTTTTTTTTTTTCACTTAGCAGACAGCCAGTGTCTCTTAATCTTACCCATCAATATACCTCAAAAATGAAACTGTTAAAAAGAACTTACTCTACGCAAGCGGTCTAAATGATTTAAACATGTGAAATAATAACTTTTTTTATGATTTTATTAACATTAATCCTCATGACTGATTTTAAATATTTAAAAATGATAAAATCTTATTAAAAAATATGTAATATTTTAAAAATATAAAAGTATAATTAACATTTTCTTTTATATATATAAAGTTTCTCCTAGACTTAAGACATGCATATGCATACATGCAGAGTAGCACTTTTACTTCTTCAGCCAAAAGTAGTAAGAAGAATATTAAGGCATCATCAATTCATCATACTATTCAAACTGAGAAAGAATATGAAAGAATCATGGTCCTAAGTAAGAGAGAAAGAAGCAGCTTAATATTTATTTATTGTGATTGTTACCGGTAGAGATGAGAAGGTCAATGGTTTTGTCATCAGGATTCTCGCCAGTAACGGCATAGTATCTACGTTGTACGGTGTCTCTATACTCGTAAGATATCTGCTCCCTTAGGTTGTTGAAACTCTCCATCGAGTCTTTCAAGTTCTTCCTCAACCCACTAACCAAAGCGGTTCGGGTCCGGTCCGAATACGAACCGGGTCCACAATCGGGCAAGGAGCGGGTGGTTTGGTTGGACCGGTCGAGAGCCTCCAAACGAGCCTTGACAAGCTTAGCTTTGGTGAGAGAGAGAGCGACGTCAAGGTCCATGCGAGAACGAAGATCCTTAACTGCTTTGGGGCTGTGAAGGGTCTTGCCATGCTGGTTGGAAGCACGAAGACTTAGATGAAGGTGTTCCAGCTCCTTCAACTCCTCCTTCACCGATTCCACTTCTTCCAAGAACTTGTCCAATAGGTTCATGCCACCCTCTTCCATTTCGATCACGTGCTCCTTTTGTTGTTGCTGTTGTTGCAGTTGTTGCTGTTTCTCCTTGAAGAAGAAACTCGTTAACAAGTCGTTCATTTTCTCGTTCTGATTCGGGTCTTGAATGTTAATATTGTGAATTAGCAAAGGAAAGGGTTGTGTTGTGTTTTATAGGCTTTTCATTGAATTTAGATAATATTTGATGCATTCAACCCCTTTGTACTTTTAGCAATGAGAGGGGAGAGAAACAGAAGGAGATATTTATGAGGTCAAATGGGTTGAAACTGCACAAATGGATTATTAGTGGAATGGTTTTAAAGATTTAATATATACTTGAAACATAAGGAAAGTAAATAGTGGAACATGAAGAGGAAGCACCCCACAAATAGACGGAAGAAAACGATTACGTTAGTTAAGAGGGTGACTACTTTTAAACTTTTCTTTAATTTACTTCTTTAACTACTCACTTACTAATTATATATATAGTTGAGGTGTTAGTCTGAAACTATAGTTGAGGTGTGGTCTTCTTCTGCAGCCTACGGTGTGTACCTGCTGAACATGAAGCTTCCTATGGATTCTGGGAACTTGTTTGAGGACAAATATTGTTATCCAAAATTAACTAACTAACTTTTAAACAAATACTTCAATGAATTTATTTTGAAAAGTGGAAAATCGTTATAGATAATAAGTAAACGACTATTATAAATATAGTTATTACTTATTACCTAAACTGGTTTTAATCTTTCGTAAATTAATGTTTATTCAGAATTAAGTTCGAAATAATGACTTGAGGACTAAAATACTATATAAGTAAATTTTACGGAAAATAAATATAAATTATTTGAAAATAAGCTCATGCATATTTTTTAATAAACGGGGCCTAACGCCATATATAGCACTATTTGAATGGAAGTGATAGATCAGCAAAGTTAACAAAAGAAGGCAAACTGGCAAAGCTTCAAATATTTTGACACACAACTTTCAATTTATCTTTTTCTTTTGGGTACAGAATAAAGTCTCAATTTATTTTGATGAAATGGAATCACAATCGCAAGGGGCATAATTGTTCAGAACTCAAGGGCCATCTGTCATACTTAATAAGATAACATGTAATAGTATAATAAGATTAAAGAAGTTTGAGAGATTTTATATGATTTTTAAAATTAAAAATAATTTAAAACTTTATAATTTTTCATCTTTTTTTAATAAAGTTTCTAATCAATTTTACAATATAAACTATGATATGATAAAAATTAATTAAATAAATGCTTAAATAAGAGGTTTGCTTAAATTATTGATGATATAAGGTTAGATAATTTTTAATATTATATATTGTTTGGTGTAATATCATGTAATTAAGATTCCGTATTGTACTGAGCTAATATTATCCAATGCTTGTGACGCATTATATAACGCGCTGGACAAGATAAAACAAATATTTATTATAAAAATTTATTTCCCCCATAAATATAATGTACATTCAATAAAAAATAGATTTGGATATTAAAATCAACATTTTTAAAAGAATATATATATATCGATCTAATAGCTAATAACAGATTTAAGAAGTTTTGGATACTCATAACGGTCTAAAATTATGTATATGCTATACATGTGTAATATTAGTTAATTAATCATATTAATTTTTAAAAAATATTATTATGTATAATTCAGTTGACTTGCCGTTTTGCATTTTTCAATTATTTATAATTGGAATCAAAATCTTAATTTTAAATATTTTTAACTAATTTCTACTCAAGATTAAATATATTTATACTAAAAGAGTTGAAGAATAAATTAAATTAATTTTTTAAAATTTGTTATTAATTTTTTTCATATAAGCTTGTATATCAATTAAAGAAATTTTTTTAAATAAGGTATTGAATTTAATACAGTATATATAAAAAATAACATTATCTTGTCATAAGTATATTTTCAATTTATACAAGATTATTTATCATTAAAGATGGTACATTCATTATTTTAACGAGAAATTTGTGGATAACCTTATATAATGCAATATTTACACCAAACAGCTAACAAATTCACAGTATAATATATAAGTTCATCTTAACATAACTTATACCACGTGCTAAATGAGCCCTAAGAAACAAATTAGCAGGTATACTCACATCATGGAAACTTCAGTGTTTCTTGCTTCAATAAAAAGGAATTGAATGAAAACTAAAATCACGTTTTGATTAATTTCCAATTTTTTTGTGTTACTATAGTGCCAAGATCTAGAGTAAATTTGGAATGCTATCATGTTTATGAGGATGATGAATCTTTTAAGGGTTCTCTACCAATAAATTTCCAATTTTTATTTTTCAACTGCTGTGAATCCTCACATAAATAGATAATTGTATATGTTGAGTAGTGAACTAAAACGCAACTTACAAATTTTTGGACCCTTCGTTTTTAATGCCAATACCCTGTGGTTCTTTCTGAACGGGAGGTGATCCTTTTCCATATTTCATCAAGGTTGTTGCAAGTACAGAATCGCCGCGATCGTTCCGCCACCTCGTTGGGAGGTTTTGTTTTAGATTTTGGTTTAATTTTCAAAAAATGCTTTTCTAAAATGTTGAAATTAAAAAATAATTTTTGTTTAGGAATAAATATTTCAAAATTAAATTTAGTTATATTGATCTTATTTGAATGCTGAAAAAGAACTATTTTTAGAAGGAAAAATATATTATTTAACAGAACCAATTCTTGAAAAATAACAAAACTAAACGAAACAAATATGATGTTCATTAGTAACTTATGATTTGTGAATCTTGACTTCTAATTGCTTATTTTATGGCGATAAGTTTTAATCTTCTAGATCCAAATTAGTAGAGAGGGAGGAGGGGATAGTGTAAATATATTCTTTCTGCTCTAATCTGATTCAGTAGAAACGTTACTAACATTTACTTTGTAATTGCAGATATACTCTTGTAACGTAACTCATATATTCAACAGTAGGAACATTTGCATCACAACTTTGCCTTTCGCTTAAACTTAATGAAAGACAACGATGCATAAGGAGAAGAAGTACACTACCCTTAGGGAAAGACCCCATTATTTAAACAACAAATATTAATATTGTATGTGATATTATATATAATTTTTTTTACATGCATAAAAAATATACTATAAAAGTCAAAAAGATGTCCCCATTGACTGTACACAAGATTTCTCCATATAAAAATGTTACTGATCCGACCCATGAGATACTTTAAAAAAGAAATGTGATGCCCAAAATAATAATCTCCAATGATGCCCAGAAAAAGAAAAATCTCCAAAAATCTAACTCAAAGGAACAATCAACATTTGCCTTCCTATATTACAGATAGAGAATCATCATCCCACAAAATAGATGACTGAAAAGTGAGAAGCGAAAACCAATAAATAGACAAAAAAAAAAAGAGAGGGTTAAGCTGCATGAGGAGGAGGAGTTGTTTGAACCAGAAAATGCTGACTCCCATTATTTTCTCCACCATTGCCATTATGTTCCCATGGTCTCACAGTGAAGAGCACAACAAACAAGATGATCCCAAGAAGAAGGATAATAGCAAACAAGGCCCATTTGCGGGTGTTCTTCTGGTGCTTCCTTGCAGTCTGAAGCTGCTGAGCACCAGTCTTAACGAACGAGTTAGCTCTTGTACAACTCCTTGAGATTCTTCTCCAGCTCTTTTACAGCACTATGCCTCTCTTTAATTTCGTTAATGGTGTCCTCAATTCTGCCTCTGCCTTGTTCTTGAATGGCTTTCCGTAGGAAATTCTCGCTCTCACCTGCACCACCCACACATCAACACAATCTCTAAATCTAAAACACTACCCAGCCGTAAAAATGCGGTTTTTTTCAAAATAAAGCCCAACTTGTATGAGGATTAAAACTACCCAATTCGTAGTTGTTAATTTTACAAAACTTTCATTCAATTATTAATGTAAATGGAAAAATATACTCAAATAAATAACTTTTTATAATATTTTACAAAATATAAATAGAAAATAAAGCAAAAGTTTTTTTAAAACCATTGTTACAAAATATACTAATGCAACGCCTATTTTTTTTCTTCTTCTTAGTAATGCAACGCGTATTCTATGCAAATTTATTTTTACACTCATTTTTAATTTGTTTTATAATTTTTTTATTTTTCTATTAAAACATCAATTATATCTTCTTTTTTTTTTGGTCTCTCTCTTCCTTGCACTTCTACACCCAAAAGGTGGATATCAACATATAATTATTCATATGTTTTATATATTCACACATTATAACTTATTATTTATATTCAAAATCTCAAACATTTTTCTACTCCTCTCAAATCTCTCATTTCTTTTGTCAAAAACTCCCTGTCGTCGTAAAGATCTTCCTAACCCTTCTTAACTATTACTAGTATTAAATAAGAAATAAATAATAAATTACATAAAGAATTTAATGTCTTGTAGTCCAATACAGATGAGTTGCATTGCCATACTACGTTAATTACAACTTTTTTATAATTCTTTTTTAAATATTAACCTCAACATTAAAGATTAAGTTTAAATAACTAATAACAATAAAAAAATTATTAAAAAGTATTTATTGTATTTATATAACATTAAAAAATAAATATATTATTTTTACATAATTTTTTTCCTGTTAAATACTTAAATTTAATCTTAAAAATTATATTTAATAAAGCCCTAAATTTTAACCATACCATAACCGGTGTTACGCCATTGCAAATACCACTACAATGGCAAATTGCACGGCAATCACGTGATGCAATCAACAATTTAAATCATCATTAACAAGCAAAACGTGAAATGTGGAACGATTTATGTTACCGGTAGAGATCAACAGGTCAACTGTTTCGTCATCAGGGTTCTCGCCGGTGACGGTGAAATAGCGGCGTTGAACTGTTTCACGGTACTCCGAGTTGATCTGGTGACGAAGCTCACTGAAGCTATCCATGTAATCCTTGAGGTTCTTCTTCAACCCGTTTACGACGTTGGTTCGGGTCCGGTCAGAGGAGGATCCGGCTCCGCAACCGGGAAGATTCCGATTTGCGTCGTTGGAGCGTTCCAGCGCTTCCAACTTGAACTTGATGAGTTTGGTTTTCTTGAGAGTGAGTGCCACGTCAGCGTCCATGGTGGATCGAAGGTCCTTGAAGGTGTTGGCATGATAAAGGGTTTTGCTCTTTTCGTGTGACCTCTTGAGACTCTGGTTTAAACGCTCCAACTCCTTCAGCTCCTCCTTTATCTCTTCAACGTCGTTGAAGAACTTGTCCATGTTCAGGTTCACTCCTCCGTCGTCGTCGTCGTCGCCGCCGGTCATCTCAATGACGTGGTGGCTGCGGAAGGAGGAGGTGGGGGAGATCAAGTTGATCATTGTTGCATTTATATTATATATATATATATATATATATAGAGAGAGAGAGAGAGAGAGAGTTAATGATAACAAAAAAAAAAGGAAGAAGAATGCTTAGTGATCAAGTTCCTATGGCGATATAGATTGTTAATTGTTATACACTGCTACTCCTACAGTATATACGCTCAACTCCTAAAGTGTTAGTGATAAGATACTAGGCAAAAGAAGAGGTAAACAAGAGGAGGTAGTGTGTAAAAATTATAACTCCAATCAAATGAAAGGGAATATGAGAATCTTAATTGAATTGAAAAAGTTTGAAATGCAACTGTAAATCTATATTGGCGGATTTTAAAATTATTCAGGTGACAAATGATCAAGTTTTTTCAGATCCATACGGATCAAATAATCAAAGATTCTGTAAAATTGAATTATTCACATACTGCGTATTTTTATGTGTATCAAATATTATTATAAATTTTGAATTAAAATTTATTTTTAAAAAATTCAAACACATACACCTGCACAATTTCTTTTAACAAATAATTATTATACATTGATTGATATACTAGTGATGAATATTTTTTAATATAAGAGACTAAAGGAATAAATCTAAACTAACAATGATATATGCATGATCGAGATTAACAATTTTTAAATGATCGTTAAATTTAAGATATATACATAACTTGATAACAATTTTTAAATGATCGTTAAATTTAAAAAGTTTTTTCATTCAATACATTTTCTTCACTATACACCAAAAGTAAGATAAAAAGAAAATATAAAATTAAAAAATATGATAGATGATATGATAAGAAAAAAGAGGATGTTTATATTAAATTATAAGTAAAGAGTTAAACATTGTTTGTATTAAATTTTTATTAAATAATGATATTATTATTATTTTTAATATATATTTAAATTTAAAGTAACTAATAATAATTGATTTTTAAATAAGCTTAAAAATTAAGAAATAAACTATCATATAATTATCAATTTATATATTCATTATAGTTTTTTATTTAAAATTTTTTATAAATAATAATCTTAAGATACTTTTATAATATATATGTGTATAATATATATATATATATATATATATATATATATTAAATTTATAACAATTACTTTTTTGTATAATTTTTTTGACAAAATATGGGAAGACATACATTTTTAATTTTTTTTTGCTGAATAGGAGGGCTAAGAAGCCCAAAAACAAAACAAAGTCAATGTCTCAACTTAAGGAACCAGATACTTAGAGAATCCATATAAAGGTAAGAAAGTAGGGAGGAAGGAGAGGTGTCAAAATCAGTTGGTATATATACTACCCTCAAGTTCTAGTTTAGTTAGATGATATGCACTCTGGTTAATTAGCTTCTCTATACACATGGCCAAATCTAACAAGCTAAATGCTCTTAATAACATTTCTAATTTTAGAAATCAAATCATATAAAGGGTGATTAGTGCTTTGGACATTAAGGATTAAACACAGGGCCTCCCTAGAGTCACTTTCTATTCATATGACATGAACCCCTTTTAGCACAGTCAGTTCCAATCTAATAAGGATGCTCCAAAGCTCAGCGGTCAGGGGAGAGTACTAAGGAAGACTTTTGCTTAAACCAGCCACAAATTTTCCTTAAGCATTGCGAATAACACCTCCACAAGCAACAGTTCCTTCAGTCAAAGAAACAACACCATCCACATTGAGTTTTCATTGATTATAAGGGGGAGCGATCCACTTAACCTGAGCCTTATCATTCAACTGTCGAGCAATGGACCCATAATGCTTCCAATAACACCCAGATTGGTACTGAAAATCAAATAAAATTCTCTTAACAAGGATTAAAGACTGGACAGAATCATTATTAAATATAAAATTATTTCTATCTTTCTAAAGGTACCAAATAATAGTACTAAAGAGAGTACCCCCAGTGAGGAAAATTGATAGAATTATGATTAGACAAGTTAAACACTACTAAAGGAACCCAATGATGAGAAAAAATAAAGAACTCCTATACTTTTTTGGCATAAAAGCAGTCTCCCACAACATGAATGACAGATTCAACATCCTTCCCACATCTATCACAAAGAGAAGAAGTAGTCATATCTCGTTTATGCCTTTCCAAATTGATCAACAATTTATTATGGGCAATTTTTCAGAGAAATAGTTTAATTTTAGGAGGCTCTTCCCATTTCCACATTGAATCAAACCGATTATGGCAACCAACAAAAGATATACTTGGAGAATATATAATAGAATATGCAGGCTTTAGAGAAAAAATACCATTACTAGTCAAAGTTCAAAAAAAAAAATCAGGTCCCCTAGAAAAAAGAGGAGGTTTAGAATTAAACACCTTTAGATAGATCTGGTCAGGAAGAACAGAAGGCAGCTTATCCAATTTCCAAACCCCATGAGCAGAGAACAATGCAACAGGGACATCCCTATCTAAATCAGAGAGAGGGTTAATAGCATAATTACTCAAACATCCAATATCAAGACACTAATTATCATACCTGAGAAAACACAGGCCAGACAAAGGACAAAATGTTCCAAACATGGGATATTTTCCTACCTTGCTTAGTTATAGATTTTGACCAATAGGAAAACTATATTTCTTATATAATACTTGAGCCCATAATTCAGAAAGAGAGGTATAAATCTTCCACCAAAGTTTTATGAGGTAAGCTTTATTCAGAATATGTAAATCTTTAAATCCCAACCCCCATTCAGACTTAGGTTTATAGATTGTGTCGCAGGCAATTAGATGACATTTCTTCCCTCCCAAAGAGCCCCAAATAAATTTCTTACATAAGTTGTTAATTGTATGGAAGATAGAGAAAGGGATTAATTGAGACTGCATCACATAAGCAGGAATATTCATAAGGCTTGACTGGGCTAGGGTTACCCTACCAGCCATAGATAAAAAATTCATCTTCCAAAGAGAGAGTTTTTTTTCCTAATCTTATCTATTAGATAGGAATATTGGGTTCTAAGAGAACGAGAATGGTGAATAAGGCTACCAAGATATCTGCCTAGGCTTTTAGTCACAGGGATACTCAAAAAGTTACTAATGGACTGAGAAGTAGACTGGTCAGTATTGGAAGAAAAACAAATTTTTTAATATTCACCTTCAGACCGGAAGAGTTACAAAATCATTGAGAACATTTCTAATGGTAATAGCTTGCTAAGAAGTGGCTTTAGCTACTAAAATTAAATCATCAACAAAGAAAATGTGAGAGATATTAGGTCCTTGGCTAATAAATGAGAAAGGACTTCACTCTTCATTGTTAACTTTATCATTAATGAGATGGGCTAACCTCTCAATGCATAACACAAAAAAATAACGGAGAGAGGGTCCCTTGTCTAATACCTCTAGTGGAATTAAAATGGGCAAATTCACTATTATTCCAGTTGATAAATAGAGAGGAAGAGGATATACAATGGTTAATAATGTCAGTAAGCTTATTATTTATACCTATTCTTTGAAGAGTAATTTTTATAAAAGACCACCTGAGTTTATCATAAGCTTTCTCCAAGTCTAGCTTGATAATCATGTACCCATTTCTATTTCTAAGGTTAGCAAAAGAATGTGTGAGCTCTTGTAAAATCAGAACATCATCAATACTCTGCCTACCAGGGACAAAACTAGCCTGGTTGTTAGATATCAAATGAGGTAAGACCTCTCTTAATCTGTTAGCAATAATTTTAGTAATTATTTTATAACTGATATTGCATAGAGAAATAGGCCTAAATTGGTAAATATATTTAGGCTTCTCAGTTTTAGAAATAAAGTAATTTTAGTTTCATTAACAGCCCTAATATTAGTAGGATTATCAAAAATATCATTCACAAATTTTAACAGGAAAGGGGCTAAGGTAGGCCATTGGTTTTTGAAGAACAAAGCATGCATCCCATTAGGGTCAGGGGACTTGAAGTTCCCAATGCTAAATAGGAAGGTTCTAACCTCATCAATAGAGATAGTGGCATTTAGACTAGTTTTATCAGAATCCCTTGGAGGGGGGAAAAGAAGTTTCTGTAATGAGGTCAAAAAGAGTTTCTGTAATGAGGTGAGGAGAATTAGAACAAGGATCAAAGTAAATATCCTTGAAATAATTTATAGCCGGAGATTTTAAAATTTCTGTATCAAATTACCAGCAATCAAAGTTGTCTTTAAGTGCTTCAATAACATTCTTTTTCCTTCTAATGATCGCAGCTTTGTGGAAAAAAGTAGTATTTCTATCCCCAAGCTTCAGCCAGTTAGTTTTATAGTGATGATACTAATAAGTCTGTTCAAAATCCAACATCTTATGGTATTCCCGCCAAAGGGTTTTCATGAGATTATTAAAGTAAGGGTTGTTCCCATGGAAAAGTATTCTAGATATACCCTCTATTCTACTAAAAAATCGCTTTTTTTGTTTAAAAATATTGCTAAACACATTTTTGTTCCAACTGGAAATATTAACTTTAAATCTGTTCATATTCTCAAACTCGAAACAAGAAGGAATCCAAGAGCTTTTGATTTGGTTACTAAATCAGGATGAGAAATCCAAGGGCCCATAAATTTAAATTTCTTGTTATGCTCAATCCCAGAATTTTTACCCTTTATTTTGGGCCAAAGACCTACATGGTCTGATTTCAGGACAGGAATGTGAATCACAGATCTATTAAGAAAAGCCTTGTTCCACTTCTCATTCACGACTACCCTATCAATCCTTTCTCATAAATCACCTCTTTGCCAAGTAAATGGATTACTTTTAAATCCCAAATCAGAAAGGTTGCACTGGTTAAGACAGTCAGCAAATTTATTCATTTGATAGACATTAACATCCTTACCACCAATTTTCTCATTTGTATATAAGACAATGTTAAATTTTCCTACAAGGCATCAGGGGAGAGTAATGGTTTGACTGATGTCTACTAATTCCTTCCAACACTCAGCTTTCAATCTATCTATGGGACTAACATAAATGGAGGATAAAATCCAATCCTCCTTGCTAGCATTCTTAATTTTTAGGTGAATTGCAAATCTAGATTTAGAAAAAACAGAGGTTCTAATCCTGTTTGTATTCCAAAAGCACCAAATGCCACCAGAGAATCCAATAGAATCTACTTTCTTCTTACTATCTATTTTAATTCTCTTCATAATACAGTCAGCCTTCTCCTTACTGACTCTGGGTTCAAATAAAGCAATGAAGTTTAGCTTACACATATCAATCAGGTCATTAACTAACCTACGAAAAGATTTAACCCCAACACCCCTATAATTCCAGAAAAAATAATTTATAAGACAAAGGGAAAGGTTAGGGAGCATCCTTAGGGTGCTTAATAGAATTCCTGCTAGTAACTTTCCCTAAATCAGAGATGGAAGATTCAATGTCTTTTAAAGACATACTAACTGTATCATCAATATCCATAGAAGGCACAATATCAGGGGTTCCCTAAAAGGTTTTTTAGCAAGGGAGTTCCGAGATTCTTAGTGAGACCCTATACCCATTCCTAAGAGGTTTTGGATAGACTTCTACCCAGAGAAATTTTGAATAATTTCTTTCTGTAAAGTTTGCATAATAAAAAAAAATTCTTATCATGATTCATATTTATATTTAAACTAGAATCCCTATGATCAAACAATTTTTGGTTTTCAGATCGACCAGCCTCTTTACTTTCCTTATTATCTTTTCCTAACCTAATCTTATGCTTAGGTTGATTACTTTTTTTTGGAGTTACTAGGATGAACCGATTTTAAAACACTTTTCCCCTGCAATTCTAGGTCTACCAGAAATACTCTTATTTACCTCCCCAAAGAATTCCCCCTTTTTATTTCATAAAGAATCATTAAGGTCAAAGGCGCTTCATGCACCTTTCTTTCTTCAATATCTCCCAATACATCAAACCTAGACCCAGACAGTTGCTCCTTACTTTTCCCATTATACACAGGGGGTTCAATATTTTTAATAGAACCAGTTTTTTCCTAAGAGGTTTCTTAAATAGCATCCAAGGTCCAAATTTATCCTTCTCCTTCCCACCCTCTTCCTCTTGACTAGGCAGAGAGTCCTTTCCTAAGTTAGCTTTTGGGTGATTTGTATTCTCATCAATGCAGGTCTTAGATTCAAAGGTATATTGGCCAAAATTATTGGGATTTTGAGGGGATTTAGGGTTCTTGACACAAGAATCTGAGCTATGGCCATATCTACTACAAGAAAAGCAAATAAGATGTAAATCCTCATATTCCACCCTAAATTCTTGACCTAAGGCTTTAAATGAAGGAGCAAGCTTTCTATTTAGATCTAACTCAACACAAATTCTAGCAAACTTTCCTCTAAATACTAAAGAAGTATGGGGATCTATTTTTAGCATGGATCCCAAATCAGCCCTTACTTGCCACAAGAATTTCTCATTATATAATTCCAAAGGTAAATCTCGAATACGAATCCATACTGCTATTCTTTTGAGAATGTAATCGTTGGGTCTAAACAAAGGTCTCCATCTCTGAACCAGAAGGTAGTGATCTAATATTAACTAAGGCCCTCTCAAACTTAACTAAGTAGTAATCATTATTGAAGTCCAAAACTTGAAGGTTTTTACTTTTCTCTCACATAGCCCCTAATTTTTTTATTAAGAAAATTATAACTAATAGATTTTCCTAAAAGCTTAACTATCAAAGTATATTTCCACTGTGAGCACCAAAGTTCATAGTCTTCTAGAGATATTTTAATCTTAGGACATAAATCTTGGGAGACATTTAGGTCAGAATTAGTCTTGAGGGATATTGAACTCTTCTAACCCAAATCTCACTATTTCTTCATCTCCTAAGACCATGTTTATTTCTTTAGACACAAGGACTTTGTCTTTATAGGACATGCAACTAAGGGAACAAGAGTTAGAGGGAACCTGACTTTTGGGTGATCCACTGATAGGGTCTTCTTGCATGTGAGAGGGTAGATCTTCCTCGCCCGTCGCAGCATCAATCTTGATTTTCTTCTTGCTACAAGACATAAGATCGTGAGAGGGAAGGCATATAATAAGTAGATATATTTTAATTAATGAATATACTATTTAATAGTTTTATTTATGTTAATTATATATTGTATTTAACAAATATAATATTTAACACACAGTACCATTAAGACTAGTTATGCTTATAAATTTATTTTAGCTAAAAAAATATCTTTTCTCATTTTTTTTAAATTTTTTATTACTAAATTTGCTATCAAAGATGAAAAAAAATATTTCAAATAAAACTATTGAAACAAAAATGGCTTTAAATATTTTGAAGTGACAATAAATATACTCCATATTTTTTGATATTAAATTTATAATAATTACTATTTTTTGTTTAGTAATATTTTTTTAATATACTCATAATGAATATATTTCAGTTAATAAATATTTTGTTTATTAATTTTATATATGTTAATGAAATATTCCATTTAATGAATATAAAATTTTATATCAAAGTGAAATAATTGTGTTTATATATTGTATACTAATCATATATTAAATTTAATAAATATTACATTTAATATAAAGTGCAATCCATTTTACTTACATTTGTAAACTAAATTTATTCCAAAAAGAAAAGTTAGTCAATTTTTTCAATCAAAATTATTTTTTCTTATTATATCAATATATTAGTAATATTTTCCCATTTTGAATATCAAATTTTTCATTTTTAATTATCTAATAAACTAACTTTTTTACATATACCCCTTTGGTTTTTTAGTAATATATCAAATACTGCCTAAAATTATAAATATCAACTAATTTAATTCTTGAAATTATCAAACCATAATTTTAGGAACTAAAATTATCTAATGTAGGTTAATTTAATTTTTATTATTGTTAATTAAAATAACTAAAATAATAGTTATTTAATATTTTCAAGAATTAAAATATAACTTTGATAATTTCAAAACAATATTAATTAATATCCACAATTTTACTACTCATAATTTTAGTGGCTGATTTAATGTACTTTTTTCCCGTACTTATTTCATGCTTTTTCTTGTAGCTTATATTGTGCCCATCAATTTTAATTTTATTTTATATCTTTTCTTTTTCTTTTTCAAGATCTATGACAAATCTCTAACTGTTATGTGAATTAAGTAAAAAAAAACAAACTATAGAAACGTTCATATATTTGAATAACATTATTCCCTCCAATTTTGATTCATAAAACCGTTTCAACTAAATTACAAAGATTAAAAAAATTGTCAAAATTATTAATATAACTTTTTAAAATATTAATTATAGCATTCCAAAGCCTTATAAATAATAAATTAAAAAGTCTCATATTAAGAATGAATAAAAACTTTATAAAAGAATCTTTAAAAAAATATCAAAGAAAGTCTTCGTTTAATGGTCAAATTCAAAATACTGGAGTGTTTGTCTTTCTAAGCTCAAGTGTTTCACATCACCCTTTTAAGCTCCGACTAGACCAACCTACATACCCCGCAAAGTTTCACATGGATACTGAAACTAACCTTGCTGAAAAACTGGAGTTCAGCTTTTAAGTTAATCCAATGTAAAACTTGTTATATTAATATTATCACTAAATAAAAGAAATCACATTATTATAACAATAAAGTTTCATACTTTATGATCAAATTATACCATTAATTCTGAAATAACAACTTTTTACAGTGTAGCAGTATACCCTTCCTGTCTTACAACTCAGTAAAATTCATAAAATTAAAGCACTCCGAACGGCTTCTGATCGTGTATGCAGAAAAATTAGAAAGACCAATCGGTCCAATGCTCCATGAATTACGCTCAAAATATTAGATGTAACCAATTCTTGCCACGCTTACGCGTACATCCACCTATCGGGTTAAAAACTCTGATTCGATTACCCGTGCTCCACTCTGTCATTTCATCCTTGGTTAACCGTAGGGCATACAAAAAATTTAAGATTGTCTTCACAGATATACTTCCATATAACTTTTTTTCTCAAACTTGGCCAGTCCAAATACGCTATCCTGTTCAATGAATTGTATATTTTCACCGTCGTTATTGTTTGGACAAAAAGAACTTGCGCTCTACCACTTTTTCCACCTAACTTTTACACGGTTCCTTGTTCCTATTGACGTTTTAACAGTACATGGAAACGTATATAATATATACAGCCCCTGGTTACAAATCACATCTAAATTTCTAGAATGAGAGATAAATGTATAGCAGCACATTTTCCAAGTTCTCAAGCGGACTGGAGCACAGTAAGATAGTATTTATAACCTTGGCACTTGCCTGAACGCTGTCTCGTTTCATCACTGTCTCTCTGACCATCAGATGGAAGTTTCCAATTCAAAACATAATTTGACAGGTCGTATGTCCCAGGAGAGAATACACATATCTGAAGAGGAATTTCTGCCGAAGACATAGGCTCAATGTGGAGGTTGGTTGAGCTTGATCCACACCAAATATATGGGGAGACACTTTCTAATGATAATGCCTTTCCTGATTGCGTTTCAATAACATTTGATGCGACTTTTTGTTCATTCCCTGGGGTTATATCATGCCACCCTGCTTGGTTATCAGGAGCCACAGTTACACTGTTCATATGTCCACCATTACCAGCAGAATCTAAGGTGTTAATGCGCACAAAAGCAATGCCACCAGATGAATTGTAAAGGTGCATCTTCAGATTTATTTCACAGAACGATGCAGAGAAATCATGATGCAAGGTTTGAGGTCCATCCACTAGCCATGAAATAGGGCCGGTGCTAGCAGTGCTATCAAAAGATACAAAAGATTAACATAAACCCCTCAAAAAGACAAGTAAATAACACATGCATGAATATTTAAATTTTATTATAAAGTTGAAATCAGAAGCACAGTACGGAATGAAACATACCTGAAGTGGCATGCATGATGAGACATAACACGAGGAGGATCAGATAAACCAGGATTGTTCTTACTCTTCAGAAGCCGAGAGAACAATATAAAATCCACAGTATTTAAGTCACCCTGATAATACAAACAGATGAAGTTCATCTCAGTTATCCGAGAGAAAAAAATAATGAATAGATAGTTTAAGAATATTTTAGTAGTCAATCATGAATGTTCTATGATGACATTGGAAAATAAATTTGTCCATTATACAACCTAGAAATCAAGTCTGTTGCTGTCAGGGAAAATTAAAAAATTTATAATGTTTACATTAGACATTATAATATTCTCATAACCAAGCAGACTAGCTAAACAGAACAAAACAAAATAGAAATCTAGAAATATGAAATATAGATAAAGATCTATTCTTATTCCTAATTGAAACTTATATAGTCTTTTTGTCCGATTGAAACTTCCAAGTATGATAAAATAGGAAGACGATGATAAAATATCCGTGAGCTGAGGAAAAAACTAAACAAGGCAAAAAGTAAGGAAACGAAGAAACTAAGAGTGCAGTAGAGCAACCCAATCCCTTCATAAATAAGATATATCAATACCCTTGAAGTAACCATGGGCTGAGAACCAAAGAGAAGCTAATATAATCCTATCCCAGAGTAAATTTATAAGGAAAATCTGTGTGCATTCCAGTTTTTTAGAGAAACCTGGTAATGGCAAAAGTGTGTTATGGTTGAGATGGGGGGAAAATTTGCAGAGAATACCGCTTTACACTAGTTTAGTACCCCCCCCCCCCCCCCCACCCTCCAATAAAAGGCTTGAGAAAAATGAAATATAATTCATGTTTGCTCTTGATTAAAAATTATTTCAACCCATCAACTGCTTGAATTCAGCCTCCCTGCTTTCACCCCAAATGATATGAAATTCAATGACATAAAAAGACAGTTAGGTTGGTCTTTAACAAAAACAAAACAAATGTCTACCTCATGTGACACTTCCTGTTGCGATCTTTCACAATGGTGGAAATTGACTAAAGGTGCAGAGTTTATGTCATAAACTAAATCCTCACTGCTTTGGGAAACCAACTTTACGTCACTTCTGATAGGCAATGTAGATACATTGTCCTCCAATGTTGAAAACCTTGAGTTCTGAGGGCAAAAAATAGCTTATCAGCCAACTGTAGTGATTACATGTACACATGCATACAATTTTAAATGGCCAGCAAATCTTGAACAAAAGCACACAGATTCAAAAGATATATAATAGAATAATACCAATACCAATAGCACATTAGGGGGAGTGTATACTAAGTTCTAATACAAACTTGCTTTTAACATAAAAATTTCCATATATAAATCACTGCTTCAAACTCAATTTTAACTAAAATCAATTTTGTAAAATTAAGATCTACCAAAATTAATGGTTTGCCAGATAAAATCAAGTAGTGAAAACACAAGCTCAGATAACTAAGCATTTGAATATACAGATTCTGAAATATTAACACGTGGTCCATCACAATTTTCTGCACCAAACACTCCATCTTATCAATTATTCTATTTTTTAATGGTGATTTCAGAAGAAAAACAATCCAGAATAGTCTCAAATAGAATAACACAGAAAAAGAATATATACATACTCGAGTATAAAATTAAGTTACTAAATAAAACCAGATACAATAAAATTATCACAAGAAGCTTGGATGTATCAAAGTTAAATATGACCAAACAATACTAAAATGAAAGATTGGCATACACAATCTCATTAAAGAATTTCTTGCAAAAAAAAATAGAGACATGAACTAAAATATTACAAGAAAATCCAACTTTGAAAAAAATTGAACAAACAAAATCACTGAATCTCCTTTTCATAAACCACAGGAAAACTTCTTCCCTTGAACAATATGAGTTGCACACTAAAGAGAACTAAGATGAAGAACTCTAGCCTTGAATGGCTACAAAACATCATATAAGAAAGTCCAGGGACAAAGCCATGCAAGTTCTCTCACCTGTACCAGGCTTCATGTTTACTTTATTCAGGTTTGAAGACCTCTTTTTGTTATAACAATTTTTTTAGGCACACAGCTTTACTTGTATCATTAGTGAAAATTGATAAACCAACATTATTTCTAATTTTGTCTGTCTATCTGGGGAGGGTCATTTATAAGTTCTAATTGATCAGGAATCAATAAGTTATAATCATCCAACTCATTTTATCAGTGAGAAGTGTCAATAAAAATTATTTCAAACATAATTTATTAGAATATTCGATCCAGAAGAGTAATTCAATATTCTCTTAGCCACTCATTCATCATAAAGCATTTCATTACAGAAATATAGTATGCAAATATAATAGTGATTGTTCTAAAACATTTGGGTATCTAATAAACTACAGAATATGGATACAGCCTGTTAAAGGAATACCCACCCCCCAACCCTCTAATATAAAGAAAGAAAAGAAATGGTGATAGACAATTTGATCAGTAAACATATTTTACAATAAAATACCATAAAAAAGGTTCATAATGTTCAACATTTTGCATCAAGTCACCTGCCTTTTATTGGAATTATCCCTATCAATTATGTTTAGCATACATCATTAATTAAAATTATATTAAACCAATTAAACAAATTCCTTCTCCATCTTTTGACATGCCAATCAAACCCCTCAACAAAACCTGCTTTCCATAACAAAAACATGTGACAACCATCACAGAATCAAAACCCATAGCACAAACCTTTAGTGTAAAAAAACATGATATTGCTTGACCAGCCATCAATGATTGGGAAGGAAAAATAGCATCAGGAGGTTGAAGTAATGAGATTTCCCAGTGGTGCCCAACAGATGATAGCTGATAAACTTGGAAACTTTCTGAGCTAGTCTTGTTAACAACATCCAATTTAACAAGAAACTCTTGTAATCTTAATTGAGAAGGACTAATTTGAAACGAGACATCCAATGATGGTAATACCTACAATCATCATAACAGAGAAGACAGAATTTATTTGACTCCATGCAGCAAAAAATCATAGAACATAATTATTCAATAATTTTTATAGCCACCAACGTAAAAAAAAGTTACAATATAAAGTAAATAAAATGAAGCACAAAGTTTCACTTGTGGTATCCACTATACTAACCTGCACATTGTAATGCAAGCGAAGAGTGCGATATCTGATTACACTTGATATATCTCCCATCTCATAATATATGCTCATGTAAAGTGATATATCACCTGGAACAGCAGCTCTAAACCATAGAGGCCACAAGAACGGTGTTTCCCCTTGAACTGAAGTGCCCTGAGAAGAAGCGTAATTCAAGTGAGTTAGAAGCCAAATTAGAATAGAGTGGAAATACAAAACTTACATGCAAAAGATTCAATACTGACTTCTGGAAACAAAAAGACTGTGTCAGACATGAGATTAGAATTAGCATGTGCATCACTTTGTACTGAATCTGACTTCTTTGTTAAGCAAGCAGGAAACCCTGACTTCATAGTTTCCTTATTCCCAATAATCAGGAATCTAGGATGACTTATCTTCAGCTTCAGATTCTGTCAAAACCGAAAATAAGCATTAATAAAAATACCAAGCAAGAAAAAAAAATATCTGGAGTTCAACCCAATACAAGGATATTAGAAGGCAGACTACATCCATCACTCAATCATATAATACATCCACTATATATAATTAACCTTGTTAAGATATCCCACATTGGTTAGAAATAAAGCCAGAATACTCCTTATAAAGATTAGAACACTTCCTCTTATAAACTAGCTTTTGGAAGTGAGTTATGTCCAAATTTTTTAACATGGTATCAGAGCCAATTCAATTTGAATGTTAGGCTGTCTTCAAATGTCCAGTCCTATTGGGTCACCCGTGCATAGGTCTAGTCCTGTAAATTTCACACACGAGATGTCTAATCCTAGTTGTAAAAGAGTGTATTAAAATATTTCACATTGGTTAAGAATAGAACCAGAATACTGCTTATAAAGGTTAGAATAGTTCTTTTCTTATGAACTAGCTTTTGGGAGTGAGAAGGCTAAGTTTCTTAACAAACCCCATAACTCCATAATTACTAGATTGAAGACTACATCCTTCACCCACACACACACACAAAATAGGATCCAGTGACACCAACTACAAGTCTTTCCAAACTTACAATTTTTAACAATTGATAAAATTTATCAATGCAACCATTAGATTGGAATAGCAAATATTAAATGATTATGTCTTCAATAAAATAAATGCTTTCCTTTTCATTCAATGTTTTTCCTTCTTGTTAGCATACAGAGATATAGAAGTAATTGTTATATAATTTTTTAGCTTACAGATATTTACAGTCCCTTTAAAAATAAGTAAATTTCAGTTTTAGTCCCCTCATTTTTTTGGGGTTATGCTTGGCTGTATTTCCCTTGTTGTTTTCTTATTATGAATTCATTGTAAATGTCTATTTAGTATTTACTTTTTATTTTTAGTTGTAACTAGTTTAGAAAAAGTTGTGGTATGTTTTGTAATTTATGTAATAGTAAATGGAGTAATGAGTTTTCTTTGAAAAATATATTTTCAAATGATAAATCAAATGTGAAAGACGATTTCCATGTCAAGACCAACCATGACAATTTTTTTCCACAAAGTTTTAAGTCATGTATCTTTAAAGTAAGGAGGTTACACTCGTTCTCATTGAGAAATAAACTGTTTAGTGGGAAACCTAACAAAAAGAGAGTGATGGTTTGGATTAAGAATGAAAGACAACAAAGAAGGGAAGGGTGGTTCTTAATCATAGGAAATATTTTCATTTCTTCCAGTTTCTGAGCTAACAATTTAAAGATTGACTTGAATATGTTTTTGGTTCTCATAAATAAAACAATTTTGTTTTAGTCCCTTTTTAATTTATTACTTTTGCATGTTCCTTCTTAATTTATGTTTTCTTGTCATAGTCCCTCAAGTATGACAAGTAGAAGTAATGATGTGGCACTGACATTTCATTTGCCACATTGTCACTCAACGGTGACCACTTAAAGATAGAAACCACTTTAGATATTTTAAAATTTACAAAGACTAAAAACAACAAATAAAATTAGAATGACCAAAATCACATGAAGTCATATTTATCAGAACTAAAAACATTAGTAAACGTTAAATTTTAGAGCAATTTAGCTCCAAACATGATACCTTAACAGGAAACTCTGATGGATTCCTCAACTCCAAAACAAGCTGCTGTAAATCTCCAGCATAGGCCTTTCCAGGGAAAGGGTGAATGGAACCCTGAAGCTTGGGTATGCTCTGGAATTTAAGATTTAAAAGCTACTTTAGAGACTCCAAGACGGAGGAGTGAAAATTCATGTGGAAATTCGACAATAGTGAGAAACGATAGGATAAGAGCTTGCACCTTAATCACTGTAAATTTAAATTTTTCATTTGGCAAGTATTTTGCTTTCCTTCCTCCTTTCACAATATTCTTCTTTGGGTGATTCAGCTCAAAGTTGTGAAAGCCAACTATTGTACCTGACAGTTTCCACCTAACACCAAGAATTTCAAGAGTACCTTCTGCCGTGGGAGTAACTGATAGTTGAATCTGGAAAACAAGCACATGACAATATTGACTTTGTAAAACTGATAACTTGAATATTATATATATGGGGAAGGATCAAATTACATAAATATAAATTATACCTATTCCTATACCATTTAATAATTTTTTATTGAATAATTTAATACTAAAATCAATCGGTAGATTAAAAGTTTTAATCATATAAATTATGTCTATAAAATTTTAGATTAATCTAAAATTGTTTTCATTTGAAATATATAGAAAGAGGAACTTTTTATTACATTCTTATAATTGTTCAATTTTAACAAAATTTAAAACAAATAATTGATACAATATATAGATATAACTCAATGGTTAGATTGACAAAAAATACATTTTATATACAGTTATTGATGGTGTTAGAATTAGTTTAACCTACACCAGTGTAATATGATATATATATATATATATATATATATATATATATATATATATATATATTATAAGATATTCTCATATTTTGTATGGTCAGCAGCTACTTTCTTATAGAATAATCTGTTTGGAGTTTTTGGAATATAATGGGCATTTTTCTACATTGGAACAGTCTCTCAACATGCGTTTTGAAGGTTTAGAGAGACAAAAAATAGAATAAGAAAACTTTGTAGCAATTTGCTGGTTATGTTATGATTAGAGCAGCATGTACACATTTTCAGATTCTCCCCCTTGTGAATTTTTCTTTGCTGATACTTGTCTCCCTTAATTAAGATTTTTTCTTCTTAGAACAATGCACATCTAGGCATGCATCAGTGTACATGTTATGCTCTAGAATCTAGATAAGCTTCAGGCCAAGGCAACTGCTCACTACTGATTAGGAGAACTCATAAATTAATTTCCCAACAGATCATGAGAAAACAGGATTACTTGTATTTAAAGTTTAAACCAATTTTTAACACCAAAGCAAAAAAAAAAAATCACTTTTTCCCTTCAAACTTGTATACTAGCCTGCTGTATTTATAAGGGAGAGAATCTGACAAAAAAAGAGAAGCATTATCTGGGAGCTTCATTTCCACTTTGCTAGATGGACTGCTTCCCTCCATTTTCGAGAACTCATGTCTATTGTCATTCCACTCAAGCTTCAATTTAATGGGAGATATGCACCATAGTTGTCGATAGCGCGCGATTGCGACGAGATAGCGGTGGTGCATGGCGGAGTGGCCTTCGGCCGCTACAGATCTGGTATAGCAGTGCGTTTTGCTGTTGCGGCCATCGCGACCAATAGCGGCTGTATTTGCAGGCCAAATCGCGGCCATTTGCAGTGCAATAGTGCCATCACAAGATATTAACTTTCATTTTCTACCCTCAAAGGAAGAAATTTTAGGACTTTTTAAGGGGTAAAAAAGACTCTTAATATTTAAGTAATAAGCTGATTTTCTCATTTTGCTCTTATGATGACACAATCTTTAAGTTATTTTAAGGGCAAAATAGTCCACTCAATTTTCAGACTTAACCCCACTTTTCCCTAGGTTTTTTTCTTTCTTTATCTCTTCGACACCCCTTCCTCTCATTTCTGTTGCTCTTCTACTTTGCAACTAGAGACCCATGACCACACCCCACTTTTCTACACTGTTTTTCTTTTCCCCCTTCTCTATTCGATGCTCCCTCCTCCCATCTCTATCTTGTTTCTGCTTTGCAACAATTTCCAATCCAGCAGAGTCACTCATTTAGGATAACTTCTTTGGCAAAAGTCACTTCCTTTCTTCTCTCTATTCTATGATTCTACAGTCCTACCATGACCAGACCTTCCTTTCTTTATCTCTTCGACACTCCTTCCTCTCATCTCTGTTGCTCTTCTACTTTGCAACTAGAGACCCATGACCACACCCCACTTTTCTACACTGTTTTTCTTTTCCCCCTTCTCTATTCGACACTCCCTCCTCCCATCTCTATCTCGTTTCTGCTTTGCAACAATTTCCAATCCAGCAGAGCCACTCATTTAGGATGACTTCTTTGGCAAAAGCCACTTCCTTTCTTCTCTTTATTCTTTGATTCTACAGTCCTACCTCTGTTCTGTTATGCTATTTATCATATTTGTTTAGCATTATTATATACATAATTATCTGCATATGTATATACTTTATATCTATATGAAAAACTTTAAAATAGCGGCAATCCCGCTATGTGCTATCCCGCAATAACCAGCTATCCGAGATTAACAACTATAATATGCACAAATTAAGATTGAAAATGGAATTTCTTGATTTTTCAGAATGCAACTCAATTTGCAAATAGCAGGGTCAAAATTAAGATGCAGAAGTTCTTGATTATCCACAATGCAACTCAATTTACACGTATTTAGTCAAAACAAGATTTCTTCAACTGGAATTCAGAAACTCACCATGGTTGTTTCACCCCCTCCTAGTAAGAAATCAACCCCAGACACCAAATATGAAGAGTTGTCTGAGTTCATATCCCTGAAGTGGTCAATCTCATTATTCTCCACACTTGAAACATTTTCAACTGCATTACCCATGAAAAACTATTAGTGCCAACCAAAAGGAAAAAAAATACCAATATTCAATATTAATGAAAAAATATATTGAAAAAAAAAAAAAAGATGACAAAACAAAACTAATAAAAAAATGGTCTAAGATACAAACAGAAACTCATAGCTTGCCTGGTCTAACTTCATCAGTACTAGCAGAATACTTGCATATGAGTGTAACACCAGATATGGGAATTGAGATTTGCAGAGGATTTTTGAATTCAATATTCACCTTCACAGCTTCTGCAAATGGATGCAGTAAAATAATCAATGCACCAATAATATATAAGGGGAATAAAGTAATACTATCGTACTGATTCCTTGCACCAATTTATTTTTTAAAAATTAAAATAAAATGATATTGTAATGAATCCAATCCTGGATAGGTCAAAATTCCTTTTGCCCAACCTCTGCTTCATATTTTTATATTTTACACTAATATCAACACAATTTACATCAGAAAGTCCAAATACCATGAAATTTTCAAATTAATTTTATTTAAACATCTGTCACTTCATAAACAGACAAGTGCTATTCAATTCCCTTAATGAATGGCATCAATGGTTCTGGTTGAATCTGTCTCCTAAAACAATGGGATCTAACAGATAGGATAATAAAATGTCAATTATTTTTAAGTTTAACACATAATTACAATAAGGACATGTCAAAAGTTCTAGGTATTATTTCAACTACTTAAATTAGCAACAGTAAAAATATTACAACACAAAAAATCCTCTTGTTCTGCTCCAGAAGCACATTGCTGATGGTCTAATGCAGACAAAAGAGTTGCTAAAAGCTACCGTGCATCAGTCATAATAGAATAAAACTTGAGGAAATGCATGCCTTATGATTAGGGACTCGTAGAATGCATAATGTGTTTCATTCAACTTATTTTGAATAAAAAATTATTTTTTTAGTCATCTTCTTGAGAGAGCTTTTGACGAAAAAATATAAAATCATTTCCAAAAAAACTGTTCCTAAACATGTGCTTAATTTATAAGTCTGCCATGGAAAGAGATTACATACTGTTGAGAAAAAAAGAAAACAGTAAAAAACACTCAACTTGAGAAAGAACAAAGTTCACTTATTCATTCTAAGTTTAGTAGGTATAACTCAGAACCCATAAAAAATATACAATGGTTAGACATATTTCATAATAAGAAAACACAAGAAATGATGTATTTACAATAACACATAACATCTACAAGCATGCATTAACAGACTATGAGCATTCTGAAGCAAACCAGCTTTCTGCTGATCTTCCCTCATGTAGTCAGTCATGTGTGTCTTACTAAATTACAGTAAGCAGTTTCCACTAGAGCTACTGCAGCTAGAATCTATCATAAACATATGATTCAATCAAAGACTCAGTGGTCCAAATTTCAATACCTATTTTCCTTCTCTTTTTCTTTTAATTCTTACTTTCATCATCATTCCTCTCACGAAGCTAGAATGGTATTCTCCATAAAGTGTATTGGAAAGACATTCTAGTGAAATAAAATGATCAATTATCAATCTCAGATGATATTCTACCACATACCGCCTGCAACACAAACATTTGACTGATTGTGTTTTTTTGAGATAAGCTTTGATTGCAACTCCAACCAATTAGTCTTGGCAGCAGAGAATGACGGTATCATTTCTTCCTCCAAAGAATGCCACAAGCCTTCTCTAACATTAGCCTGAAATGTATGTTACAAGTGAATCGTGACACTACTTCAAACTATCAAACTGTAACCATTAAATAATGTATAACATACATGCAACAAAATCTATGAAACAGAAATGCTTACCCTGAACATTGGGAAGTACTACTACTAACACATATCACAATGAAAACCCCATGATATAAAGGATATAGCAAAAATAGAATAGAGGACCCCAAAAGAAAAAAAAAACATCCCAAAAGTCCCCCTGCAAACCACTAAGGAGAAGCATAACTTCTATTCTTTGCTGGTAATCACCTCAGCTAGGATTCATACACAGAAACCTGCCATCATCTATACTGAATGAATTGATGGGTGCCCCTAAAGGGATCTGCTACTGTCCACATGGTATAACATTGTATTTTTGGGCTAAAATAAAAGTCATTAATTTGCAAATGGCCAGTTATATGTGAACCACTCAGTAGCTTGTTTTAATTGTTTGAAGCAAACCTAAGATAATTTCGAAGTAAATCGAGCATATTGATCATAGTGAGCAACTAGGATCGCCAGGACACAGGAGCCTTTACTAGAATGATTCTTTAGTAGCTTAGTCTTCATGCTTTCAAGTAAATTAGACTTAAATGTAAGGGACATGCATGTTACAGCAAATACAAACAGTTGAGCAACTGAAAGATGGAACACAACTTGAACTTGAAAGGGGAAAGGAAAAGGTGTTTCATTAAGGATCAAAACTACTAAAGAATACATAATGTTAATCTTAATGTATATTTAAAAAGTATATATAAGGTTAATCTTAAGGTCAAATTACATTCACACCTCCAGAGGTTTAACAAAATTTCACTCAATACCCCTCATTTTTTTTTTACCCTCCACAAATTTACATTAATTTAAGTGATAACATAACACCACATGCTCCTCTCGATTACACAAACCACCCCTGATTTCTTATACAGTTATATGAATCAGAGAAAGTTAAAGTAATGAAAAAAAAAGGGAAGAAGTATCAAGTGAAATTCTGGTAAATGTCAGCAGGTGTGAATGTAATTTGTCCTAATCTTTAAGTATATCAATGAATTACTAAATAATTTTATACTAATGTAAAATTGTATAGACATGATATAGGATATGAAGTTTCAATCCAATGGTGATTTTATAAAATAATTATCCGGTAAAAAGTTATTAAATGAAGAGAAGAATAGTAGAAAATGAACATCACAGTGCAAAACAATCCTCTCTCTACTGAGACACAGAGATGGACATCATGTTCTTGACATGGGTACATCCAATATTTGGCAAGTTTTCCATTACCTTTGAAGGCCTATGCCTAAGTTCCCATGTGAACTCAATTTGCACACATGCATCATAAATGGGTCAATTAGATATTTAGAGTGATAAACCTCTCAGAAAGAAAGTAGTGAAAAGTGATTGTGGGGAGAAAGGAAAAATCTTATTGGATGATAGATAATATGCCAAATACGAATTTATACACATTGATCATAAATAGATAATTGGTCAGCCAAAAAGTAACCTAAATGGTAACAATGGCTAGCTAAATCCACAGGTGAAAACACATGGACAATTAGAATCCTAAAAGACCCAGTAAAAAAAGAGAGGAAGCATAGAATTGTATTCAACTTACAGCTGAAGAAGATCCAAAAGTTCGGTAATCTTCAAAGATGACCTTGAGTGACGAGATGTTAATTACAGGCAATTGAAGTTTTGTTACCTCAAAAGTTCGTCCAGTTTTCTGTGATATACATGAAAAATTAAGACAGCTGGTCAAATTAATTAGCTTCTGTCTGACTCCACATCAACATACATACTAACACTGAAATTATGAAATTATAGATTCATGCAGAGAAAACCTTCAGGAATTACAACAAATCAAATCGATGCTTGAGCAGAAATGTATTATACAAACACTCAGGTTCAGGTTCTAAATATATGATATCTGAAATGGAAATAGAGGCACTATCACCTCCACAATTTGAAGAACATCACCCAGGAATAATTCCTGTGTTGTCTTGGACTGGTGACTACAGGCCAAGATTTCCATCATATGCTTGACAGCCACATCATACATCCCAAGAGAAGCATACCACCTAAAACAATCATCTCAATTACACAAGTTCAAAGAATGTAGATGCCATGCTTTTTGATGAAAAAAAAAAAAGTAGTATATACCATAGCTGAACCAAGCCTAACTTACTGTCCTATATGAAAATGAACATGATCATTGATATAACTCCAAGTAGTTCCTCCAAAAACAGATAGAGCACTTCTGTATGTTCGAATCGCATGCTTAATCTGACCATGGAAAGGTCAAGGAGAGAAAATTGGTAACAAAATACAATACATTATTAAATAGGGGAGAAAATGGCAAATTGTTGACATCCCAATACCTGATCACACTTTTTATACTGCTCCCCAGAAAGCACCAGATGAAATCCATATTTGCGTAACATGGAGGGTTTAGACAGCAAGTAGCAGTATGATGCTTGTTCAAGCATCACAGCAGAATGCAGGATATCCTAAGACAAGGAATCAGTCAACAGCAGAAAACAATAGTCTGAAATTACTATTAGTTTTATTTTATTTTTAAAAAGCACTACCTCACCACAAATACGAAAATAAACAGTAGCTGCCTCCTTATGTTGATCACGTGCCTTCAACATTTCTATCCACCACAAACCACATCGTGTTGCATTTTGCTCGCCTGATGATCCAAGTTTCTGGGCACATTAAGTTTATTAATAAAAAAGAGAACATGAAAGGAATATAGCAGTAACAGAGAATCTCTAGAAAGGCATGTTACTCAAACTTTCAAATGATCCAAAATAAACCATACATACTAAATATGTGTTAAAAGCATTTTCCATGCAATACTCAGCTTCCTTTCTTGATTGATCCAACATGAAGTACGTAAGTCCCATCATTTCCTGGAAAATAAAGTAGGCAAACCAATAGTGATGCATTTTCAGAACATTCTACAATCACAAATGACAAAGCATATATATGGGCAATTTAAAGTAAAGAACTGCCACTAGTAAATACTCCAAAAAGAACAAATTCTTAAAATCATCTAAGCACATTTTTTCTTCAAGCAGTGGATGAAATGGCAACCACATAGGAATTAATAGAATAGAAGTATAAAACTACAACGTCAAAGAACATGTTTAACAATCAATAGGCACACTATGAGTGACTTATACAAAGGGAAAGATGTGCATCTGAAATTGCGAATGAAATGTAACTTTCAATTTACAAGTCACAGTCAAATCATTTTTCCCCTAAGATGACCAGCAAAGAGCCATGTAAGGTATCTCAACTACAATATTTCCAGGCTTTCAAAGTTTAATATTTAAAGAAAAAGAATGGATCCCTCAGTAGAGAGTAAGAACGTAACACGAAAGGGTAATAGAAACTCAGCCCGTATGGAGAAACTTGATAGACTTAAAATATTCATCTGAAATTTGACCCCAAAAAAAATAGTCTGAATAGCTTCATTTTGTCAAGGGAAGATATTAGTTATTTTAGGAACAAAAACTAATCCAATTCAACGTCCTTCCACCACTTCTCTACGAAAAATCCTAATCTAACTAAAACCCATGTAACAACCATGCATCTTCTGGAGGCCCTCTCCAATTGGAATAAAATTAAATACCTGCACACCAGCATAACGCTTCCAGGCCTTATCAATCTTGTAATCTGTGGAAATTAAGCGATAATTTGACAACGCAAGTTCATAATCTCGTAACATGAAAGCATAATCACCCAAAACTCGAATCTGGGATTCAATGGAATTAAAGTTATACCTTCAACAATTGAAACCAGAACCATATTAGAAAGATGCAAGAAACTTAATGATACACAGCATACGTGTATATTCTATCATAAGATATAAATAAATAAACAAGTAAGTAAATAAATAATACATACGTAGGACCATTGAGAGAATCTGCACCATCTTCTTTCCCTTTTCTCCACCATAAATTTTTTATTTGGTTTCTAAACCCCTTTCGCGTTGCAGAAACCTAAACAAAAGAAAATATTACAGAAAAAGGTAAAGGACAATCAGAATAAAGGTCAAAAAATAATAATGGGTCTGAAATTACAAATTCAACTCATGAACTATGAAAGGTCTAAGCATAAAACACCTGTTGATTGAGTACACGGATCTTTTGCTCCATATTTGGAATGATGTGCTTAGATGATAAATCTTGCATTAGATCTTTGATCTGTATTCAGGCAACAAAAATGGGTACCAAAAATGCCTCTATGATGTAAGCACAAGTCCTATATAATGATTCTACTACAAAACCATTGATGGTTGCAAAAGCAATATACCTCATTGATGTCGTCAATTTTAAGAAAGCAACCAAGATCTTGACTAGGTGAGGCATCAGTTATCTGTGACAAATTTCAGGAGATAACAGCCTAAATTACATATTGTCACATGAAATTATTTATTATTTTTAACATAGGTTCCAAAAAGCAAAAGAAAAAGTATAAGGCAAGGGAGATGAACAAAAAAACAATTTTTTATTTAGGGGAAAAGAAAGCAGAAGCTACAAGCCCTCCCTAAACAAACTTACATATGAAGCCCAAGGATTATCTTGATGTTTGATTGGAGCATCCAGGGAGGAATTAATGCAAAGCAACAAACAGTCACTTGTACCAAATGTACTCCTCATTTCTGTCAATATTTTACTTGCCCTGCTGAAGATGAGTAAGCAACTCAAATAAAAGTATAAGACTAACACTGCAGACAACTAATATATCTATATTAATAAAGGACAGTGAAAGCCCAAGATTACATTCTTTTTTTTTTTCTCCAAAAAACAATATTCATTTTCAGTGTTCATTACCACAGAATGCAATTGGTTTTGAAGATTGAAATTATTTTAATACAAAGTCTACATCACACAAACCTCCCTGTTCAAAGGAGTATTATATTGGTTTTCAAGATAGAGAGAATGTTAGCGTGATAAGGATAACAATTTAACAAACACCAAGTCTTATCCTACTAAGTAAGATCGACTACATAAAATCAACTACATCATTGACGTAATCAAAAATCAAATTCTTTGATATAATACTTATTACTAAATCTCTTTTAATAATTCCTTCTAAAGTTTTTCTAAGTCTCTTTTTATTTTATTATTTTTACTAGATTAAAAATCATATCATTCACTTTTCTCACTAATGCTTCCAGTGGCCTTTTTTACACGTTTATAAATCACCTTTCTTGATTTTTTATCATCTTTTTTACTATAAGTGATACTCTAACATTCTCACTTATACAATCCGTTTATCATCTTATTCTTTCTTGTGTGACCACTTTATTCATTCTATCATTTACATTTTTGTCACACTTACTTTTCTTTCATGTTATTTCTTTAAATTTTAGCATTCTCTACCTTATAGAATAACTATTCATATAATAGTATAATAAAAATTTATTTTCAACTTGATAGGTACTTTACAATCATAAATAAATCATGATATCTTTTTTCACATAAATGACTCAACTTATATTTTATGAGTAATATTTTATTGATTTTTTCTTCATTTCATAGAATCGATCCTAAATATCTAAACTTGGAGACTTATGATATTATGTCATCTCCAATTTTAATTTTGAACACATGATCATCACCTTATTTTTTGCTAAAATTGTAATGGCATATACTCTATTTTATTTTTGTTCAAACAAAAACTCTTACATTCTAAAGTATGCTTCTATGAATTAAGTTTAGATTTAACATTTTTTTTATTCTATCAGAACTATGTTATCTGCATAAAGCATGTACTTAGAGATAATTTTTTATATGACACTTGTAAATAAAACTAATATTAGATTAAACGAGTAAGAACTCAAAGCAAAACTTAAGTATAAACTTATTCCTATAGAAAGCTTTGATGTAAACTTATCCCTACAGTATGATCAGGACAAAATACAAAAATGGGAGCATTTTACACTTAAGTTGATCTTAAAAAAATGCCTTCCCAGTGCTTAAAATTCATTAAAAATGAAATCAGCAAATAATCAAACCCATTGGATCCTAAGTTTTAGAGTTCCAGGAAAATGTGGAGTTCAATCTTTTATCATAATGAAATTTATTAGAAAGAAAGGAGAGAAAATATTACTGTAACCACAATAAGGAATCCTCCAGTGCAGAAAAGCAAAGAATATCAAAGGAAAAAAAAAAGAATCCAGCAAAACTTCTCAATCTTGAGACAAGTCTAAAACAGAAACCCCCTCAAAGTAACAATTGACAAACATCAAGAGAAGCCATATACAGGATCCTATTGACATAGGAGCATGTGTCCCATGCACAAACATTATTCTCCAAATAATATACCACACCACAGTACTGCCTAGCAGGGAACGAACAGGTGTCAAATTGATTCATTGCTGGAGCAGAACATAACACACTTATCAAGAGACAAAGCAATGCAAAGCCTTTAACTTGCAAAGAAAGGAACCACTTTGCAAACCAATTGACAAACCAATGTTCATACAAAAAAACATTAGAAGTAGCTTTTGATTTCCAAATTAGTTTAACTCAGATCATGATTGAGAGAGGGGGCAAGAATATGGAATAAAAATGTTCAAATCTCACATCAACTATATATATAATCAAAATAGAGCTTATATAAAAGTTAAAACAATATTCACCTTAGAAACTAATTTATATTCACCTTAGAAACTAATTTTTGGAATTGAGTTAAGGCAAAGCTGAAATTCAAGATAGTAGACAATAGGAGTAATGCTTGCAACAACACACTCCCAATTATTAGTTAAAATTTATAGAAAACTACAAAATTAATGTTTCTTTCTCATACTTTTTTAGATTTCAATAAATTTTAGCCAATTATAAAGAATGTGTTACTAGCATCCCTCCTGTCATAGATCCAGTAATGAGTAATCCTTAACTATTTAAAAAAAAAATAAAACTGACACTGAACTTTTCCAGTTCAATATTTAAAAAAAAAAAAAAAAATAGCCCTATAATCTCCACAATTCAGATATCTAATTTTGAGCATAAGAAAATGTGTTGAGATCTCACATCAACTACAGATGGCCAAAGTATAGTTTATAAAGACTAAGGTAATCATCACCTCACAAGTTAGTTTCTAAGATTAAGTTAGGCGAAAGCCTAAATTCAAGAAAAGAATTACAAGAAAACTCTCCAAAAGTATTTAAAGTCCAAAGTTCAAATACGACTCTACTCTACAAAGAGACCGAATAAAGCTTTGTAGTTCCCCTCTTGAAACATGCCCATTCATTTCCAACTCAAAGGCCTTTTCAAAAAGTCACACCAGGCTCAAGCAATCTTCATTAAACCACAAAACATAGATCTTCCGTCTCATCATGTATGAGATACATCTCACACGCAATGGCATGAAGAAATAATGTCCAAAATGGCAAAATCTTTCTTGTGATATAATGAAGGAAGACATAGATTAATCGCAACCAGTACAATGTCACATGTATCTATGCATAAATAGCTTCTCAAACAAAAGAATGACACCATTTATACCTGTCTACAGGGCCATCTTGATTATCATGCACTAACAAGTAATGCTTTAAAATCTTTGGATCCATTGCACCATCATTAAGAAGGGAAGGAACCTTGTTGGTATTAAAAAGATCAACAAATCTGTTAATAGGCTGCTCATCCTTTGAAGAAACAGCTAGAAGACCTGCAAGTTATTTTCGGGAGGAAAGACATTTACATTAGAAAGGAAAAATCAAAGAAGAAGAACTCTGCTGATCCCAAAATCTTACATGCCACAGGATGGTCAAAAGCTTCATGATCTGAAAAGGAAGCCATACGAACAAGCTCTTCATTGAGAAACTGAAACCAGGATGGTGTATTTCCATGTTCAGAACCTACAAAGCATTTGTCAATCAAATGAAGTCTCACACAAGTGACACAACAAACAGAACTTTAACTACCTTGACATCACACTAACAGAAAATTTACAACACCTTGTAGGACTGTGAACAAATAGAGCCCAGCAGAGCACTAGTATTTGCACAAGATTATCCAATTAAATTACTGAAATCACACTCACAGTTTAAGTAAACTTAAAAACTCTGCTCAAGCTCACCTCAATTCCCAGCCCAAGCAATTCTAAAAAGAGTTATTTACATTATGCATAATTGTAAATGCATGCTATACAAATTATATTATAATTTTCTAATCTGTGCCCAAGAACACACAATAAGCAATCAATAACTAGTAATTTTTAAATTAAAAATTGTACCATTTAATATTATCAATTGCATTAAATTATATAATTTTCTAAAATAACATATATAGGTTCTTTGCCCTTGGGTGCACATTTGAAAAGCCGATTAAATTGTCGTGACTCATGAGAATTTATTTTGCTTTGCAAAGTCATGCACATGAATATAAAAATTACAAAAACAAACATATACAGTGAATGTCACTTACTCTCAAGTTCATGATTACTTTCTGGCACATCCGAACAAGACTCGGAAAGAACTTTCTCCCCTGCCTCTGCGATAACTTGCTTCAATTTCTCTTTAGCTACCTAGTAAAAAGGTGCGGACACACAAATAAAAACGCATAATAAACCTAAACGGCAAACACATTTGCGATACGCTCAATTTACCCAGAGCATAATATTCCAAAAAAGAAAAAAAAATCTCTATCTCCGAAGCAAGCACGACCTATACATCGAAGTAAGCGTGGTCACGGAATTCGCAAGAGATCGTACGAGCATTTACCTTCAAATCGGGCTTCCTAACATCGGAAGCATAAAACAAACGCAATTTGAACTTGTGAAGGCGATAGGGTTGGTCACTGGCCGTCCTAACAGGAACTGAGAGAGGGAAAAAGAAGCAATGCTGGTGAGGAATTAGAAGGCACAATGGATGAAGATAAATAGGATTGGAGGATAAGATTACCGTCGATGTTGTTGAAGGAGCAGAATGGCGTGAGCATCTGAAGGAAGGAGAGGCCGTTCTTGAGGCATGCTTCTTCGACGGAAGGAGTTGAAAGGACCATCACCACCGGAGTGATCTCCTCCAATAGCATTTGTCCCAGAGGCGTAGTCGCCGGATCCATCACCGTATTCACGTTGTTGTGATCCTCCTTTCTGTGGTTATTCGCAGCTCGCCGACACTGTGGTGTGGGAGAGTCACCTCACTCTATGTCTGCGAGCGATGGCAAGCAGATCGGATCTCTGCCGTCAAAGCACGATTGGGATTTGGGAACCCAGAGTTCAGTCACCAGAAAGAGGAACCGGTTCTCTTTGCCTTCCACGACGTCGTCTTTCTAGTCCAGGCAAAGAATATTAACGAATGAAACACAGAAAAAAAAAATAATGAATAATTCTAAAAAAATTATTTTTTATGCTAATTTTTTAATTATTAAATATTTTTATATTTTTAAGATAATCAGTTTTTATTTAATATTTTAAAATAAAAATACGTAATAAAGATTAATTTTAATATATGCCAAGTAAATTATACTAATAAAAGTATCAAAATGGATTAGATATAAGGAATACTTTATATATATATATATATACTAAAATGTATTTTTTTGAAAAATTATTAAAATATGAGATTTAAAAATTACTAAAATAGTACATTTTTAAAAAATTATAAAAAATTAAAATCATTAGTGGTAATTTTTAAAAAATAAAAATAAAAAATTGTTAATAGCAATTAAAAATGGTCAAAAATCATATTGTGAGACAATTTTTAAAAAATCATATTTTTATAATTTTTCTCAAAATAACATATTTTAGTTAATTTTTTTAATTTTCATAAAAAAAATACCCTAGATATAACATGTTACCAGTGAAATTTAAATTAAAGTGTAACTTAAACAAGACCTTGAATTTAAGTCCTTATGTATGAAAAACAAAAAACAATTATTTCTAAATCCTATACGATTGTACTATATTTTTTATTTTAATTAGGATCTCACAATTTTAAAATTTATAACAAATTTTTAATTATTTTAAAATTTTATAAGTGAGCTTTTAAAAATATTTTTGTTAAAAACTGAAAGTATCTTATCAAGAGATTAGAGTTTAAGAAAATGTAAAAGGTTCATATGATTTTTACATGTTTTTTTAAAATTTGCCGTGATCCCAAAATTCACTTTTGAAAAGTTTTGTAGAAAGGAGAATTAAACAAGCATTAATTTAAGACTAAATAAATAAATAACAACAATTTTTGAAAGGATGGCACAGCATCTTTTATCTATGATAGAATTATAAGCAACAATTTTTTAATATTTATTAATTAAATTTTAAAAAATACCGTGTTAATAAACTTTTGACCTAATTCACTTTCAAAAATTAATTTATAAGAGGAAGACTCTATAAGCCTTTATAAAAAATATATTATCAAGTTTCAAAGTATTTATTCTACTTGTCAGGTTATGTGATTTAATTTGAACTTTTGCAGAGCTGTTATTTGATAATGTTTGACTAAGTTAATGGGCAAAATCAAAAAACGAACAAAGAAAGAAAAAGGCAAGGGCATTCATTTTCGACAAGTTCCTAGAGTCTGTCATGTCATCTACTATATTATTCATTTTGGAAAGACTTGCATGATCCGAGGAGCTCAAGATCCAAGCAATATAAGAATTAACCAAATGAATTATTACTATTATTATTATTATTATTATTATTATTATTATCATCGTGAAAGAGACATTCTTTTTCAGAAGTGCTTACTCAATCCAATCCCATGTGCCTTTCTTTTGCAGAAGAATCGAGTTAGAGAAGTGAAGCGAACGAAAGTTGACATAACTTACAAGATTGAACTCCATTGACCAAAAATTTTCAAGTTTAATTTCAAATCGGGTAATTTCCACTCTTCTTGAACTTGTTATTGAAGGAAAAGAGAAGTCACTTCATCGAACAGCTAGCTTCATGGTATTATAACAAAAACAATGCTCCAAATTAAATTACCTGAGTCTTGACTATAACATGAAACTGATTCTGGATTAATGAAAATGGTGGGAAGCATTAATCTGTAGTTTTATTGCAAAACAATCAAGTTTAGTTTTTATTTTAACCATATGTATCAACTTAATCACAAATTAAGCAGCCTACTAAAGTCTCTTTGAGTAAGCTTGTAAATAAATGTATATACAAAAAAATAATATAGAAAATTAATAGAACTCCTTTATAAATTAAAATTAACTTGTATATCTCTATTTTTTAGAAGTTAATCTCATTTAAATTCTTTAAAATTTAAAAGTATAAATTATTTTTAATTAAAAATATTCATTTTTTATATTATTTTTTCTCTTAAAAAGATTTTTTATAACTTATCCATAAATTTATCGAGAAAAAGTGAAATAAGCCAAAAGCAAATAAGCATTTTGTTTGAAAGAAACCAAGTGGAGTCAATGGACGACTCCAAAAATGCCCAAAAATCATTACTTATTCAGCGCACGAGGAAGCTGAACAATGATTAATAGTCACGATTAAAAAACTGTAGCATCAGGCTGTGATTTCAATTTGTTGGTTGGTGTGGAAAAAGCTAGCAAGATATAGGGATCAGGGGAAGATTGAGGTTGGGATGTTAAACTTTTGTTGTGGGATCTGCTTCTCTTGTATCTAAGCTGTCTGCTGGTGAAAGAAGAAACCAAAAATGATACTACCGAGGGTTTTGCTTCCCCTATCACCCTCATCTCCACCAATATCAGCACGCCACGTATGATGAACCCCAAAACCAATGTATTTGCCTACGGGGCAGTGACACCACCTGGCCTAAATTACCCCATGCATGCTCATGTGCATGGCTCCATATACGTTTCCATTTTCCAAAATTATATTCCAAACTCGCTCTCATGTGCATTGCAAAACAAAACTCGTCCCCAACACTCAATGTGCTTTAGGAGCTTAAGCTTCACCATTACTAATTAAAGTCTATATAGTCTTTTGCACTTCACCTTTTTCTTGAACTCTCTCTCTCTCTCTCTCTCTCTCTCAGCCCACAAACAAAAGCCAAGCGAGAGGGAAACACATTAGTTTTTGATGACACAGATGCAGGCTAATGTAGAAGTTTCACCAAATTGTCCCAGGTGTGGTTCTTCCAATACCAAGTTCTGTTACTACAATAATTATAGTTCAAGTCAACCACGGTACTTTTGCAAAGGCTGCAGAAGGTACTGGACCAAAGGAGGATCCCTCCGCAACGTGCCTGTTGGTGGTGGCTGCCGCAAAAGTAGAAGGGCTAAACATATCAAGACCTTAAGACAAGCCAATAACACAGTTGGGCATTCTCATGATCTGAGAAGGGTGTCATCTTCAGTTGTATCTGATGCTCCAAATATTGATCTTGCGCAGGTTTATGCAAGTTTTGTCAATCAGAAGCCAGATTCAAGAGATGCCATTGAGAAGCCTGATGAAACAGTTTTATATCCTTCTTCTGAGTATTCAAGATTTTTGAACAATGATTTTAACCACAGTGCTTTGCCTGATGAACTTGGTCTTGCTGAGTGTTTGCATTTTGATGGACAATCCACAGAATCCCATTTCAGTGAGAGTAATATTCAAATGTATTTTTGCGGGTTCAACTCTATGCAGAAGCATATTCATGATACAACCAATTTTGAGTTGCCACCCTTGCCTGGTGAGGAGGCTGCAACCTCGCATGATGATATGTTGTGGTCCAATTCTGTGATGATGGTAGATCATGCCTTTCAAGCAACTCAATCGCCCCTTTTTGAACCTGAAGCTCACGATGCAGACTTCTTAATGAGCAGTTATTGGAATTGCCACTTCGATTTGCCAAAGGATGCTTCTTTTCCCATTCCTTGATAATATAATTCGCTTCAATATTGTTGCCTTGTTTTGCTTGTTTATATGTAGCTTATGTATATGTTGGATCAAAGTACTATAATAAATAATTTGAATATGTAAGCATAACAAATTATATGCAGTTTTAGGGGCTATATATACACCATTATACACAAATCCACAATAAATGACAAGCTTTTTCCCTTGATGAACACATTTCAATATATATATATATGTCAATCTAATTTTGAAGTTTCGGAGTTTAAAATATTGCTTTGCAGGCTAGGGAATTAATGTTCATCCTCCCACACCAAACTGTTAAAAGTTCGTTTAATAGAGGATACTTGTTGGAATTTGGCTTCAGCAAACATTTATAAAAAATGAATTTGAACACGTTAGTGCAGAAAAAAAGGCAAGAACCATGTAGACCACGATCATCGTACAAGGAATTGTAGGTCCGTAACTTGCATTGCAGACGTGACTACTCAAAATACTATGGTTTTTTTTAGCGGTAGTTAATTATACCGATCATGCATAAGGGTCAATAGCATTTCATTTTTCTTCCTTTAATATTTTAATTTTTGTTGAATAATTTATATATTAGATATGCTGACTTGAACCTCCTCTAGACTAAACATCTCAAATTTGTTTTATGGATCCAAATCAAATAACAAATCTTTCAAAGTTTATGAAAAATTATAAAAATAATTTATTATTTTAATAAATTAAGCTTATGACTGAATATTCATATAAAAAAAACTTATTAAATAAGAACTTAACTAAATTTGTTTTTCATTTTCACCCTAAACTAATTACCTAGAAGTATATTTCTATTATGTTTTCGTAAGTAAAAATTTGAATTTACTCTATTTTACGTAAAAATTTTAACAATTTATTCTATTTTTACTTAAATAAATTTGTTTTACTTAAGTAAAAATATATAGAATTTCTTAGAACTCCTCTAACTCTCATGCTCCCTCTCCTCTCTCTTCTGTCCTCACTTAACTCTCCTCTCCTTCCAACTCTTTCATTCCCCTCTTCCACTTTATTGTCGTCCCTTTTCCTTTTCTCACTTCTCCCAACTCTCAACTCTCTTAGTTCTCTTCTCTTTTATGTCATCTACTCTCTTCTATTGATTACTTAAAAGTATATTTTTATTATTTTTTCTTACATGAAGATCTAAATTTGCTTTAATCTACTAAAAAATAAAACAGTTTATTCTACTTTTTATTTGTGAATTTATTTTACTTAAATAAAAATATAATTTGCTTTGTCTCCAACTCTTCTAACCCCTACTCTCACTCAGGTGCACTTCCTCTCCTCTCAACCCCCTCTCCGCAGCTTCAGTTTCCTCTCACCCAACCCTCTTCCCCTTCGAACTCCCTCTCCTCCATCCTTTTTTCTTTATTCCATTGTTGTCTCTCTTTTTTCACTCCTCTCAACTCTCTTTTTGCGGGACTATAGCTGATCCTAATTCCCTGCTACGTGGGCCTCAGGAAGGTCACTTATTTTGGGTTTGATGACACACTCACCGCAAAGGTTTGGAGATTGGATTAAAAAAAATTGTGCTGAAGCTGAGGTCTTTGACAGGTGTAAGGGTCAGCAGAAGGGTACTAACTAAAGTTGTTTAAAATTATTAATTGCGGGTTCTGAACAACGCTGAAATCCGAATGGAGTGTATGAAAGAGCTGGTTGGACCTAACGCAACTTGCATCTGGTCATGGATCAACGGCCAAATCAAGCTCAAAATAGTCTTTCTTCTCCTTAATTCGGTCAGAAAATCATATTCAAATATGGGTTCCTTCACATGTCAGTGGAGGGATATATTGACCTCCAATGAACAGTCACTGAGAATTGGAATTAAATATTGAAATATTCATGAACCACACATTATTTCGGAGCGACCTGGCCTCAACCCCACCATGGATCAGTTTTTTTTTTTTTTTTCTGGAAAGGGTGTATTCAAAGTTTGAAACTTTGGACAAACTGTAACTCCTTGAAAAGAGAGAAACCACCGTACATAATATTGTGTGCAACACATGATTCCAGAAAGTTGAAGCTCCTGATCTGGGAAACAGACTGATTATCGTGGAAACAGACATATTGTCTGTCATATTTTTAACAAATTTCAATGCCACACTATAAAAATTATGTTTTAATTGTTTATTAAAAGTATATATTATAATAAAAATTAGCATATTACTAACATTAACTATTATGATTTTTAATCAAATTTTATTATTTGTTAATCTTTTTTATTATATACTCATACATATATTTAAAAAGTATGTAAATTGATAAATAATAATTTCTTTGGTACAACCCCATTAGACCAAAAGTTGTTCCTTGTGATTTTTAAATAAGAAAAAGATAAAGGTTGTACCAAACATAGTGTCAATTATTAAAAATTATAGCAAGAGTGTATTAAAAATTATAATGAAAATATGTTGATATCATTTTAATTATTTTTTATTTCTTAAATATTACTTACATTTGTTAAAAATAAAAATATAAAGTTGTTTACAATATCAAACATAGTGTCAATTTAAACGATTGAACTATCGTGAAAATTGCGTCATACTGAAAATCAAAACTTACATATGTAAGAATAATTTGGTCTATAGTATAATATTTATTTATTTTTCTTGACGTCGAACTAGTATTAGTTTTCTTAAACGACAATGATAAACATGTATGAATAACGTAAAACAATTTATTACTGCGCTTGTATTAGAAATAAAAATATTGTTATTTTATTCATATCATCACATTTAATTATTAATTACAAGCTAAATTTTGAAAGAGGTCTCACTTCTCGTGTATAACTTGTTTGCAATTGACCGATCTATCCAGTTATTTTATCTGAGTTTTAACTGTTTTATTTATAAAATATTATGATTAAATGTTAACAAAAAAAAATCGTACTTCTAATGTACAACTGTTTATTTTATAATAAAAAAAAGTCAAATTCTAACTATTTTATTTTATAAAACATTAAAATTGAATATAACATATGACTTTCTATTTTTTTAAAAAAATAAAAGCACGAAAGTGTCAACATATTGTATTTTTTTTAAAAATTATCATAAAAATATGATTGTATATTAAAAATATGATTTTTACCGTTCAATTAAAAAAATATAGTGATGTATAAAAGATACAACTTGGTTTATTTTAAAAAAATTAAAAAGCACATAAATTTGATACATCTACAATAAAAATTACACGGTAAAAAAGCCTAAAAACTAAAAAGGCAAAGGCGTGAGAATAGCATGTGCAAGTATACACTTGACTATTTCCTGAACATTATTGGTCTGCAAGAATTGTTGTCATTATTCTTTTCCATCTCTTTCTTTTTCGGACGTTGTATGGATTCTTTTATCTATCTGTATTTAGGTCAACATATAAACAAAGAAGCTTCTTATTAACAAATTGCATTCGGTTACAAACTTTAATTACTTGAAACTGGCTTGGTCTATATATCGGTTTGAACATCACATTCACAACTATGCCCCTAGAAACTTCATTAATTTTCTAGAAATAATGCATATATCACGGGTTTTCTTTTCTTTCTTTTTGCTTTTTTATAAAATAAGTGAAGCTTCTTATTCAAAAAAGTCCGACGGCACTTGCAAAACACTTGACAAAACTTCCAAATTAATAATTTTCGCAACCTTTCTTGCTCGAGTATTCTGAAGTGCGTATCACAACTTAATCATTCCTAACAACGACTCTTTCACGTAGAAATGTTGACAGTGTTAAAGGTGAAAAAATTAATATTAATCATCCAACTATGTATGGATAGATGACAAATTTAAATTTAAGTGAAATCGTTTTTTTTTTTTTGTTGATTACAAGTATTGTTTACAGAAGATAATTATATTTAAATTTAAAATATATACAAAAGGTTAATTTTTCTAATAAAAATTTAAAAAATTCTTATATAAAATTGAAACCCAAAATCTCAATTTATAAAAATTATACACACAGTGCTTGAATGAATCACTCGTTAATTATTCATGTAAGTAAAATCAATCTTCAAACCAACGCGTATATGATTTTATAGCTAAGGCTAATTTCTCTCATAATTTACATGCACAATACAGTTTTTGTAATATATTAGAGAAATTTGGTTTATTAATTAAAAAGTAAAAGAAACAAATTGAAATTAGTACTATGATATTTAAATTTGAACATAAAATTACGCGACTCTTAATTAATATTTTACAATTGACCTAAATGAGATTCATAACGAATAATTCCTTTCATCTTTACAATAAAATATATTCATTCGATACGCCCGCGACAATCAAATGTGAATTATGTGTGAGTATTAAAAGTTCTTGTTTATTCTAAATGGTCGCATCTTAGTTGGCCAATTACTATTTCATACTCGACCAACATTTGTAATATTATAATTGAAGAACTTTCTAATATAATTAATGCTGAATTAAACACAATTAAACAAGTCTTCAAATTGGAATCAGTTACTTAAATGGAAGTAAATTGCTTGAGTAATTTATCTCGGTCAAGAATATATCTTGCCGTGGTATGCGTCGCGGTATTTTTAATTAAGACGTGCCCACAGCATTTGATCGCTCCAAATTCAATTTGAAGCATTTCAAGCAACTGAATGTAAAGGGAAAAATGAAAATAAAACAAAATCGGTATGATTAATTATCCTGTTGTGTCAGATTACAAGAAGATAAAAAAAACCTGTGTCTCAATAATCCATTTCATAATGTACCAAATTGTCAACAAATACCCGTCAAAACCTAAATCATTATCCAACCCATTTGGGTGCAATAGTTGATGCCCATATCCATAACTTATCACTAATTGTCCTTTCCAAATAATTCTATACAAAGGAAAAGTTTCTAAGAGAAGTAGGTAAAAAATTCTCATAACTTCACACATAAGCTGGGTATGAAGAGAGCAAATTGCTGGGTATGCATGGAGAATCTCTCCATGATCGAGTATGCATTTTGAGTATCTCCCTTGCCTTCTCCTTGGCCTTGCTCCCACTCTCTACCTGAAGCACCAAGCACAGTTTCGCCACCACACCCAGTTTCAGCATTTCCTGAACAACTTGTGGAGTCGCAGAGAACTTGGAAATAGACAAAAGAATCCTAACAGCTCTATCATTTACCAGTGTAGAAACTCTTAGAATCTTCTTCGACACTATGGCAAGTCCTGCTCCATGGCTCAACAGCTCAGCTCGTCCCTCAGCACACTGGCACAGCACATCCAACAACACTAGCATCATTTCACATGGCTTTCTCTCCTTACAATCAAGAAGAAGTTCTATCAAAACAGGAACCGTTCCTGCTTCCACCGCTTTGATCCTGTTTCTCCCCCATGGGCAGAATTGAATCAGTGTATGGAGTGTCGCTTTTGATGTCTTCTGTGAAATCTGATCCTTCAAAACTTGCACTAATTCCACGAAGAGTTCAGTTCTGAGATGCAATAGTTGCACTGGTTCAGCCACTTCAGACATAGATTTCAACAAGAACACTGCATAAGCTCGTGATTCGAAGAACCCCTTTTGCAATACTCTTGTTAAGGAATCTATAAACTCCCCGTTTTTGAAGGCTAGGAGAGTCTTCAACCCAGGTTCAGATAAATGAAGATTATATAGCAAGCTTAAGGCTTCATCGCTTGCGCTTGTTTTCAACTCGAATCCATCATCTGGGTTGGACTCTAGCCCGGGTAAATTTGAAGAATCGATGTTGTTCACTACAATTGATGCTAAGAATTCAACAGCACCCGATGCTTCCATGCAACGTTTGTTTGTTTCACTTCCGGAAGCGATGGATTTAAGCTTTCGGAGGCACTTAATCTGCATCGAAGGTGAATGAGAAGCGTCTTTGAGGAGCTTTGAAATCTGGTTTTTGTTTACGGGAGGCTTAGGAGTTGGAATCCTTTCGATGCCGTGAGAAGCGTTCATGGTACACCATGCTTGAATCAGTCTCCGAAGGGTGTGGTTAGGAGTGAGATCATTGTAATCTAACAAGGGTTGTTTGGTGACAGGACATGTCTTGTTTTTCTTAGAAAATAGCCACGTCTCGATGCTTTCACGGTCGTAGGTTATACCCGTGGAGACAGTCACCGGATCCTTCATGATTTCTAACGAAATGGGGCAAACAAAGAACGAAGGAACATCAATCTCGTCCATGTCTTGTGTTAGATCCGATAAGAAGAGGTTGTAGAGACAGTGATGAAAAGAGTTGTTGTGAATTGAAGGAGTTGTGAAAGTTTGAAAAACTTGGGGCGGTTGAGAATTGAGAGCGGTGTGGTCTTCTTATTTATACACATGTGGCGTGCTGAAGTCAAAACACGCATAAACGAGAGCCTCCATTCGAGAGAAACAGGGTGCGATGACTTTTCCAAACAAAATATGGAAATTCTCAACTAAGATTCACTTTACCTAGTCATCAACACGAACCAGACAAAACATTAACACAAACAGAAGGTGAAACATTTATAGCACATGGGGAATATGCTACTTGACAACTTTCGGGATTATATTCATAATTTCATACTATGTTTAATTAATTCCTTTTGACCTGCTCCAATTACCCTCTTCAACTCTTACTTTTTAATCTTATCTTGAAGGGGAATGTAATCCCCTCAAGGATAAAAATCTTAACATTTACTATTAGTTTTGGATTATGATAAAATTGGTTTTGAAGTTTATTTAATTTTTTAAATGGAGTTTAAGATAATTAATTTATGTTTAAATATAGTAATATTTTAAAAGGAAGTTGGAAAAAGTTGACTTTACTTAGTTAATAAAGTAATTTTTAAAAAAATTAATTTATTAATCTTGCATCTAAAATCAATTTATTTACTTAATAAAAAAGTCAAAAAGTTTTTACTTCTCTTAAAATTAATTTTATCCATCTCAAATTTGATCTTTAATAACAAAAGTGATCGGCCAAACACTTTAATTTACAATTAAAAGTCAAATTTCTACTCCAAATGTGATTTGCAGAGCAAACCAAATAATCACCTTGTATCTCTTTGATTTAGATTTGATAAAAATTATTTAAATTGTGAAATATAATTAAAAAACATTTAATTCATCTAAATCGCATATTTTTATTTGAAGTTGTATTTTTTTTAAAGAGTATAAGATTTAATTGTTTCCCTTCAAAACAAACAGGAACTCAGTCTTAAACTTAATTAAACTCTATTTTTTTAAAAACTCCTGAAAATTTATTTTCGAATATATTTCACTAATATGTTTTTTATATTTAATAATGACAAAATTAATTAAAAATATTAAAAAACTATGTAACATATGTAAATATTTAATTCTTTAAACAATATTAAAATGCTACAATATATATTCCTTTGCCAGTTGCCACTATTGAACAAAAATTAATAACTATTTAAAGCAATGAATAAAAACTAATGATATTTAAAAACATACTTTACAACCTCACGAATGTATTATTTTAAGATTTTTTTAACCAAAATATTAAATGATTTAAAATTATCCAAATAACAAGTTAAAAAAAACCCTAAAAACTTTAATTAAACGAATTTATAAGTCCTTATAATTTATATTTATAATTTAAAAATTTATAACTAAATTTACCCTTACTGATTTGTAGTTGTTAAAAGCTCGTTAAATTTTATTTAATTATAAATAATTGTCTGAACATATTTATAATTTATAAATTTATTTAAAAAATAATACAGTTGAATATGTTTTGTATTTTATCTTTGCTTCAAAACAAATGATTGTAATTCGACAAAAATTAATACTGTTTAATTAGTAAAAATCTAATTTAAAAATACCACAGCGTTATTATAAAATTTTAACTTATAAAGAGTTATTTAAATACTAAAAAATGTTATAAGAATGCATTTATTAACTTGGATTCAATTGAGATAATTTAAGTTTTTAAAATTAAAATCAGTTTTATAATCTTATATTTTTTTAAAAATTATCGTTTAAATTTTAACTTTTTATATAAAAATTATTTATTATATATGTTAATTTACTCATTAGCATTAAGATTGTATTTGTAATAGAAATGACAAATGATAAAAGATTGTATCTGTTAGTGAGAGAATTAGCTATAGTAGCAATAGTGTATTGAAGATGGTTAACAATGGTATCAATCATGTTAATGAGAGCGATGATACTAATAATAAAAACAACTAGTAATAAATAGTAAAAAAGATTAAGAAACAATTTATAAAAATAGTGATGTTGCAGTAATAATAATTAATTAAGTGACATGTCATTTTTATTTTTATTTTTTTGCTATGGACAGTTAATGTCATTAGAGATTATGGCAACAACAAATATATGAATGATAAGAGAAGCGGTAATAGTATTGATGATATATAATCCTTATAGTGATAACAATAGTTGGTGAAGAGAATAAACAAGAGTTACAAACTTACAATAATTATTATAAGTAGTGATAAAAGCAGTTAAGAATAATAATAAAAATAATTATTAATAAAGTAGTTACAACAATAATAATATGAATAGTCAACAAAAGGTAATTGTTATAACATCAGTAATAATAAAAATGGTATATATATATATATATATATATATATATATAATAACAATAATAATATTAATAATTAATATTCATGATAGAAATAATAGTGATAAAAACTAAAGTGCAAGATTATGATAATAGTAAAAAAGTTATCATTTACTTTTTTGAGTAAAATAAATAAATAAAAATTTTAATAATAAAAATAAAATTTATTAAATTTTTAATATTAATTTTAGAAACAATTTAAATATTTTTAACTCAACATATTTTATTATAGAATATAAATTTAAAAACAAAAAATAAAAAAACTTCCCAGCACCAAATCGCTGTATACCTAATTATTTTGTGTGTAGATAAAATGTAAGCATTTGGGCTGCTGGCCGACAAATTAAGGTGTCTATTCGACCCATTCATTACACGTGTAAAGCTTAAAAAAGAAATGCAAGTGGAATTTACGATAAGATCCTCATCTGGTTCTTTCATCACTGACGCAGAGACTGTGTGGCCGTCGTGTCTCGTGCTATCCTCAATCTCTTCATCCTTCGTTACTCCAGTACCACTTGTCACCGTTACTTTGACCAGGCACGTCCCATTTTCTATCATCTTTTTAGTAAATTATTTATTCATTTTCAGTATTATACTCTTTTTCTTTTATTTTAATAATTAAAAATGTCATATTGACAATTATTTTAAGAAAATTACGATAATATTATTTTTTATTCCTTTCTATGTTTCATGAAAATTTATTAGCATATGTCTATTTAAAAAATGCTACAATACATTATTTAACACATTACACACCGTAAAGGATCACAAAGTCATGAAAAAAAAAAGTCTTAATTTACAGTTTGGAAGAGTTGTATTTAAATAGTGAACACAATAATTATTAAAGAATGTTAGTAAAATCAATTAAAAAACTATTTACTAAAAAATAGTCGAACGTCAAATCAATAAAAATTTATCTAAGTTTAGTAGGTTAGTTTTTATAGGAAAATAATATTTATATAATGAGTTTGTATACACTATAGTAAAATAAATGAATAAAAAAATATATTAAACTAAATAATATAATACAAATTATATATCTTATGTAATTAATATAACTCTTTTAGTAATTAAAAAAAACTGTTAACATCAGTTTTAAAATTAAATCTAAATAAATAATAATAATAATAAAATATATATTTTGTTGAAAATACATTAATTATATTTTAATTTAATTTTTAAAAAAATTAAACGCGATCTTAAGATAACGAAATGCTTTTTTTTTAAGCAATTAACACGAAGAAAACGAGTGCGAAAGAAAAAGAAGTTAAAAAATAATAAGGAAAAGCATTGATGACAGCAACGATGACGTAGCATGAGAATGTCGGCTATGAAATGTGTCACGTGGTCACCATACGTCAAGTCAATGGATACTTTAACACAGCAAGATTAAAAAAATCTATTTATTTTATTTAAATAAGTTATGATATCGATTTGTTAAAAAATATAAATAATTATCACCGAATGTGTAGATTCAATGATACAAAGTTATTTTAATTTAATAAATAAATTTAAATTCATGTTTTAAGAATATATTCACATTAAATATTCAGAATATATATATATATATATATATATATATATATACACCATAATTTTGTCATATTTAAATAAGATTATATTATATAAAAATATTTATTATATAAACCCGATATTATGAATAATTATTTTTATAAAAAGTTCATTGTAAATATTTTTTTCGCATTATATTTATGACTAAGATAAAATAAAGTGTATAATATTGTTAAAGTAGTTTAAAGAAACAAGTTACTTGAGATTAAATTCACCCTCTCTCTTAGACACCTAAATTAAGTCTGCATTAAAATTCTAATATGATATAAAATTCAGTTGAGGTTAAAAAGGAAATAGACTCGAGAAATATAATAAAAAATTAAGAAAAAAACACAATTCCAAATAAAAAGGAAACGTAGGCAAGTTTAAATTATATTTAAACGCAAAATACAAGTTTAAATTAAAAAAACAAATACGAATTGAAAGTAGGCAAACCGTGAGTCTAAATTAGCAAATTATTTTAAATTTATGTCATAAATTTAAAAGTATATATATTTTTTATAAACACTTTAATTAAATTTCTTATTCAAACGTACCTTAAGTTCTCATTCCCAACTCGAAGGCGTTGAATTTAGAGCATTTCAAAAACGTTTTAGGAGCGACAATGCAGAACCATATTAAGTTATTATCCATTCAAACTGAAGCTATTAGATGATCTCTAATATTTTCTTTTGGTCAAACGGATCTAACTTAGAAATATAAACAACATACTATTTGTATTCCACTTTTGTGCTATTCGATAAAAGAATAAAATTTAGGTATATTATCATTATTATTTTTTATGTAATTTCTTGATTAAAATTTGAGTGTTTATACATTACCAAGTCTGTCAGATTATAATTTGTTATTTATTTGTTAAAGGTAAACAAAGAAATAGATATAAATAAATGATTTAATTAACTACTTGTAATTAGTTCTATAACATTAAATTTTTATACCATAAATTCAGCAATAAAATTTAACGAAATCACAATTTAAAATTGACTAATAAGTTTAGTATGTCTAGATAAAACTCTGAAAAACGTATTTAAAATATTCTAAGGGATCATGTGCATTTTCTTGTCTCCTGCAAATTAGTTCAACAAGTTCTATCACACGACATGCATGTGGTTGCTGTAAGTATCATAGTCATTATGTCACTAGCACTTTGTTTAGACGGAAGAAGGAATGCAATTTAAATGAACAAAAAATGGAAATAAGAATATAATAGATGAAATGAAATGAAATAAAATAAAATATAAATACATGGAAACCATTTTACTCTTGCATCAATTAATAGAAATTCATCACGTAGCCTGGAATATATATATATTTTTTACTATATGAGAGTGCTAATGTACATTCTTTGGTTGATTCCAATGAAATTTAAAACTTTTATTCACTATTTCAGCTCAATCAAATTCATGAAATGGTTTCAAATTGTACAATTTCACTTCTGCTCAATTCGGTTGATACTATTCCAAAAGAACTAAACACATATAACTCTAATGGGTCAACGTGAATAATTAACAATAATGGAGGTCAATCTTAATCCCTAAAGGCTAGTTCCTCTAAATTTAGGAGGGCAAAAAGTTTACAACAAACTCCGGTTTTTCAAATTTACCAAGGGAATTTTTGTTTCACCATTTTGTTTTTGTTTTTGTTTTTGTTTTTGTTTTTTTTGGAGAATTTTGCAGCAAAACAAGTTAATCAAAGCATCGGTTTCAAAAGGCTTAAGTTTTAAAAAAGCCCATTGGCGACACAAAAAAATCATAAAAGAAAGGTTTAAATATTCTACCTAGTGATGGAGGAGTATGCTAATCAAGTTAATTAAGATTCTGACAAGAAAGAGAAACCATAAGATGGACAATTCATTTGAAAACAAACAGAATTATGACGTGGAGTGATAAGTGTCATGAAAGACATAATAATTTTTAAAAATTTAAAACTAAAATAGAAACAAACAAACCCTAGTATTTTTATCTTGTTATTGGAGTATATTTCATACAAAACTAATAAATTTTCAACGTTCTCTTATATACGATTTAGGCATTGTGTAGATTTATATAATAATACTAAATTAACTTTTTCTGATTTTAGTGCTTGAAATTCACTCTGTTTCAGTCATGGATTTTAAAGAAGTTTTAAGTACAAAATTACAAGAACTATTTTTAGTGTATCGACGCCAAAACTAAGCATTATATCACTAAGAAATTAGAAATGATGCCTCTTCTTTATTTGCGTACTGTTATTTAAGGACCATTTCACTGCTATATGCTCCAACACAGTAAATTAAGAAGCTATAAATAGTATTCTTACTAGATGCATGAATTGAAAAACGGAAATTTTTCTCAAGTTTTCTTTCTTGCGAACTTTAAAGTGATGGATGTGTAGATTTATGACATCGAAGTACAAGGTTCATGATAGTGTAATTATAAGCCTGTTTGTTGTAATTTTTTAAGAGAAAGATCATACTTTTTTCTTAAAAGATATTATTAAAAATTTTATTATAATAGATTTCTTTAATGAAAATTCTCCCCCCAAATTAGTTTTAATGCTTTCTTAGAAATATCTTTTATTTTTGGAATATAGCATAATAATACTTTTACTTTTTCAAGTTTACTCAATCGTACTTTATATAAAGTGTAATGTTTACCGCATTTCAATAATGATAACTTTATCAAATCTATTAATTGTGATTTTTTTTCATAAATATATATATATTATCATAAAAATGAATTATTTTAATTAATAATATAGAACAGTTGTGATTATGTATCCATTACTCTTTGTTTTACGATAAAATGAAATCTTAGAAGAGAAAGAGAAATTGATATGAAAATTTGAACACTAATTTTGAAAGAAACAAATGAGCTTATCATCGTCACAGATTATAAATGTTTTTTAAGTAATATGTAGAATCTTTACCTTTTAAAGTGTTGGATATTACGTACATATGGCTGTGTTAAGCAAAATGTTCAAAGCCACCTTCCCAGCTTTGTGCTCTCTTCTTTCGTGCGTTTCATTATACGAGGTTGGGCTTATAATACCAAAATATAATCAGAAAGAGAATTTCTTTTAATTGCATTACGAAGATATTAATAGAATGTTTAGAGTTAAGTTTTAGGGAAAATTGAAAAAAAAACATTTTCAATAAAATTTTATAATTTAATAATTTATTAAAATAAAATAATAAATTAACTTAATCCTCTTAATTTAAACATAAAATATTTAAAGTATGTTTGTTTCTATTTTTAAAAATAAAATGTAATACAAATATTTAAAGTATGTTTGTATTACATTTTATTTTTAAAAATAAAAAATTATTTTTGTAAAGAGAAACAAACATGCTCTTCATATTTTCTCTCTTTTCTTTCAAAATTTAACCCTTAAACAAGGAAATAATAATAATAATAATAATCTCAGATAGAAATAGAATATTGTGACTGCACTTCACTGACTGAACCCCGCATAGAAGAATCGATCACGATAAGAAATCAATGCAATGAGTAATTTTCCAAACTTGAGCATGAGAATTAAGGATTTTCTTTGCTTTATCTTTAAGATAGGTGCCATGATCACTCTGAAGCAACCTACGAAGCTTTGACACAGTTCCAAACTCCACCATTTCTTGAAGGACCACAGGTGTGGCAGAGAACATAGACACCAAAGAAAGAATAAATATGGCTCGGTCATCCACCACTGATGAAATCGTGAAGATTCGCTCCGTCAACAAAGCAATGGCGCCTTTGTGACTAAGAAACTGAGCTCTTCCATCGGCACAAGAACACAGGTGAAATAGTATCTCCACGTTGAGCTCTGTGATCCTCTTCTCAGGTGCCTTTAATTCAATCTCTATGAGTTCAAAAACTGCACCACTTTCCACAATCATGATCCTGTTTCTTCCCCATTGGCAAGCACTTAACAAGACTTGAAGCGCAGCATCCAAGCCTTGTTGAGTAGTCCCACATTGTAAAATCTTCACAGTCCCTTCAAACAGTGCAGGTTTCAGTCTTTCCATTACTGTGGAGCTAGCTTTCTGCATGATGGTTTTGAGCACTATTACTGCGCGAGATTTCACAGCAATAGAATTTTTCACCTCACAGCCTAAAACCCACGTTAGAGAATCCAATATTTGATCGTTTTCCGCTAGAAGAAGCTTTATATCCTCTTCTGGAACGTTAACAAACTGAAGTAAGCTTAAAGCTTCTTCTAGACCTTTATCACTTTGGCCTTTTCTAAAACAATTAAATATGAACAGGATCATGGCCTTTGGCACACCAGCCTGTAGTAAAAACTTTTTATTCCTTTCATTCTGTGATGCTAGAAATTCCAATTCCTTGATCTTTCCAAGTTGAAGCTTGGGGTCATCGAGGTCTTTGAGGAGCCTAAGGACTTGAAACTTGTCAAGCGGTGGCTTAGGGGTGGGAATCCTATGAATACCATGCGAGGCATTTTGGGTACACCAAGTTTGGATTAGACGCAGAAGGGTGTGATTTGGGGTTAGGTCAGAGTCGCTTGGGAGCGGTTGTCTAGTGACTGGGCAAGTGGTGTTGTTGCTGGTGAATAGCCAGTGCTCAATGCTATCTCGGTCGTATGTAATGGCTGTAATAGTAGTTACCGGATCTTTCATGATCTGAAGGGATATTGGGCAGATGAAATATCGAGGAACTTCAATTTCATCCATGATTAAAACCAAGCTAGTTCTCAAAAATATTCAAAAAGTTAGATATCTATGATTGAAGGGAGGAGGGGGGAGCAAGAATCTGCTAAGTAGTTAAAGAATTAATGTCGTTTAATTATATATTGATGACAATTTTAATGGGAGAGAAAGAGAGTGGTTGCTGAATTTGACCCCCCCGGGGTAGTTTTGTATGGGTCATGCATGCATATAAGTCTAAGTGGACGAGTCAGCTGATTCTAGTCTACGCAGAGGATTCTCCATTCTAAGTAACACTGTTCGGTGGTCAAAGGAAAGGAAAAGGTGGGCGAACAAACCAGAGCCACTCGAGTTAACCCAGTTTGACTGAGGTCATTTAGAAAGCACTTAAATTAAATTTATTTCATAAATTAAAATTAATTCTTTTTTAATTAGCTTAAAAATTTTCAATTAATTAAATTAAAATATAAAAAATTAATTAATTTTAATTTTGTAAAAGATATTTTATTTTTTCTTATGATTATTTGTACATAAACTTATCTAAATTAAACCGTCGTAAGGAGTAAATATTTTTGGTGGTGTGCGAGCAGGTATGAGGTTTCCAACCGAAATAAAAGTTCAATGACATATTTTTCAATTTTTTTCCCTATACGATGTGTTTTTTTGAGGTCCCTTGTTATTGAGTTAAGATTAATAAATAATTTTTTTTAATATTTAATACAAATAAATATGAGACTCGAATTCAAGCCTATAGATTAAAATTAATTGATTAATTTCTTATTATTTTATCTACATATTTAGTCCTAATTTTTTCATTTGATAATAAAAGACAAAAATTGTTTATAGTTATTCTTCATGATTTCCGTTAAACATTTTTAAAATTATTTTAATTTATCAATTAACCAATAAAATTTATATAGTTGTTTTAATATTTTTTTTACTTAATTCATTTTACCATTTAGCAAAACACATAGTATATCTTATTTTATATTTATACTACAAATTTTGTACATTTTTTCCTTTCATTTCATCACATTCAAAGTTTTGAAATATAGGGGCACCATATGGTACTCGTCTTAGGTATATGTGAAAAATATTCATAAAATATTTTTGTCAAAATAATGATAAAAAAATGTTAATGTTAATTTGAAGAATAATTTTAAACAATTTAAATTAATATTTTATTATAAATATATATTCTTTAAAAATAAACATATAATAAATAGTTTATTTTTGAAAAAAAAATATATTAAATGCTTAAATTTAATTTGAAGAATCGAATGGTATCAACCAAATCCCGCGTAAACGCATGCATAAAGTGAATATAGCAAATAACCTTCTTTAATATTTTAAATTATAAATCTTCTAATATACGTCAACCCTTTTTCCTTTATAAGAAATGGGCTCAAAAGGGAACAAATTACAAAACAATTCAAGGAAATGGTATTTCATAAGCATTTCACGAATGAAAAAGAAAACCCAGAGACTGAGGGGGAGCAGCGAAAGCTCGGCATAAAAAAAGTCCCAATATAGGTTATATTGGGACTAATAAAAATTAATTTTAAATTTTTAATAAAAGTCTTTCTAATTATTAAATAAATAAAATATTAAATTTTTTATATTCTAAAATATAAAATTAATTGTCGTTTTATAAAATAATAAGAAATTATTAGGTGGATATTGTAAAAGAACAATACCTTGTTTAAAGGATCTGAAAAAAAAGGCTTTACAGCATACAAAATTGTTAATGGTAAACTTTTTTTTTTTTTTTCCGTTGAAATGTTCAAAGCTAACATTAATAGTTTAGGTATCATTGAATTTAATAAAAGCGAACTCAAGTTCAATTAACTTTATTTAAAAGCATATGCTATTGATCGTTCGTTGTCCATAGTTATTTCAATTTATAAACAACTTGTTGGGAAGAACATTTTTATTTTATTTTTAACTCCACTTCACCCCATTTTACTTAGCTCTCGGTATTTTCCAATCTAGCTAGCACGTAATGTTTGAAACTATGCATAGAAATATACGAGTAAAACATTTTCAATTCTATGAGGGTAAAAAATGCTAGTGTATTTCCAATTGGACTCAAACACACAAGTTATAAAATAAGAAGTAAAAAAGAAAAAATTCGCACATATGGATGCGTGTATACCTGTGTAAAACATATACACTGACATTAAGTTTCGTTAAACATTAAGCTTTATAAATTTGATAATTAAATTACAAAATTTCTAGAAATATGTTAATTTTTTCAAAAAATTACATAGTTTTAAAATATATTATGAATTCATACGATAAGGGATACCAAAAGCGGAAAGTGAAGTGAGAAAGGAATATATTTTGCGGGAAGATGTTAAACATGTCAATAAGAATTGATTTCAGTAGATTCTTTAATTCCACATATACCGATGAATAGTCTAAATAATAAGCGTGAAGCATGTTGGTACTTGGTATGAAAAATTATTCAAAAAGAAAAATTAAAAGAATATAAAACATGAAATTAAAATCTTTTCTACTTTTAAAAAAAATGAACAACAATTTACCAAAATAAATTGAAAGACAAATACACATTTATTTCCATGACAACTTAAGAAAAACATGTATAATATAATAAAATACATTTTCTATTTAGGGAATATTGATTAAAAATCAATTTGAGATTTAGTCTGAAACAGAAAAGAAAATATTTTAAATAAGCCCGTGACACTTAATGCTCAAGAAAAAATAATACTGATTAATTAGGAGATTCTTTATTGATTAAAAAAATTTAAATATTGATCATCATTCATAGATATTGAAGTCCAGGCCATGAAAAGTTTTTATTTGTGACATTAGAAGAAATTAAAGAAGAGAAACAAATTGAAGGGTCATTGTATAAGTCGATTGAATTACAGTATTTATCATCCTTATGGGGATCTAAAATGCTTTGAATGGATTATTTCAATCACATTAATTAGTTCCAATCGAGTCAACGCTTTTGTCTTCTTCATATGGTTGGGGACACGACATCCTCTACTCCATTAATAGCGCCATGAGTTTTCACTCTTTCTACGATCAGGACCATCAACTCAAGCGTCAACCTTCCACCTAAGTCTAAAAAGTTCGTTATTAAACAAAGTTTCTCTAATCCATTATTAGGCTAATCAAACAGTAACTATAACCCTTTATTGTATATCTTTTCTTGCTCAATCTTATTTGCTAACAAAGTATAGTATCAACAAGTAACATTTGGTTAATAGACCCAATGTTATGCACAGAAATGTTTTTTTTTCAACATATAAAACATTTATTTATTATTTTCTTTCATTTCTTTTAATTTTAGATTTTAGACAAACAAAATTAGGTGACGGTTATAAGACATGTCGATGGAAATTGAAGATTGAATTAGTCATCTCTAACAGTTTTAATAAACAAACTCCAAAATTGAAAAAAAAACTTAAGAGTGATAAATTTTATTAAAAATAAATCATTTATTATCATGAGAATATAAAATGTAATTAGTGCTATATATTATATTTTTAATAAAAGCACACTATTTGTAGGTGTTTAAACTTTATCTGATAGTTAGAGTTAACAGAATTGTTATTTTTTGTCTCACTTCTTTTATTTTTAATTTTCCAGTTTTACTTTACAAAAAATTAAGTAGGCAACTTGGCTTAACCAACTTTATATACCTTTTGTATTTTTTCTTTGTTAATTTAGTAGCTTACTTTGTACTACAATTGGTCCAAGGAGGAGACCAGCAAATCATGTTATTTAGGCCTCCTCCTTTTTAAAGGTTTCATTTTTTTTAATTTAGATATTATGTATATAATGAAAAATAATATTAATAAAAAATAAGTTAAATTAAAAATATTTTTAAAAATAAATATTAATATTTTTAATGAGTATCATGAGAAAGCACTAGTTAAAAGATTAATAAATAAATATCTTTATTGAAAGCCATATTAAAAGAATATTAAAATTATAATAAAAGTGCATTAAAAATATTTTTAATACTTTAAATTTTTAATTATTTGACTAAAGTCTAAAGATACTTATTAATATTAGCTAAAAATATAATCATTAACTTACGATGAGTTCATTATCTTTTAAAAATAGATGTTATATATTTTTTTTTTGTTTTTTATAAGAAATAAATGAAATATTTTATTAGTCTTTATTATAAAAAATAAATAATAGATTTAAGATGCATTAATTATTAAATTTGTTTATATTTTTCTTTTATTAGTATCATTAAATATACAAATTATTAACTACATCATTTAATATCATGAGTATTTTTTAAATAGAATTTATATTTATAAAAAATATAACATATTTAATTACTTTTCTTAATCTAGTGATTTGATTTTTTATTTCTTATAAAAAGATCGGATATAGTATTAATTACTTTTTAAAAAATGTTTTACAATTCTCTTTATATCTTATATCTCCACTTATGTTGACCAACCTGTTTTATACCTCGCGTCCCTGCTTGTCCCCAAAGCTTGCCTCTACTATTTGGCACGATACCTTTGATCAAACTCACCTTTCTATGTTGCACTGTTTCTCCAAACTATATTTTGCACATTTTTGTGTTTGAATTTTCCTTATATTTTTGTTATTTTTATATGAAAATACTAACAAGTACCTTTATGGCACTCATTAAAAACGATTTTATTATATAGAAAAGTGTTATTAATTTATGTTAATTTATTTTTAACTGAACAAATGTTTATTTAGTTTCTTATCTAGTTCTATTAAGATATTTATTAATATATTTTGTAGTTTTTTATTTGAAAAATTAATGTGAACCAATTTGGCTCAACCTATGGAAATTGATTTAAGTTGCCAATTACAAGTTCAATCAATCACGTGGCAAATTAATAACAACAAATAAACCTAATTTTACGAGAACAATTCTACAACAATTTTATAACAATAGTGATATCAATAAGGCTAATTATATTGGCCCAATTTCACAACAGCAATTAGTAAGCCCAATTTGATGACAAGAACATAACAACAACGACGAACAAAGGGAAAAATAAACTTACGTCGTAGGTGACCGACGCGTTGTCGTGGGACTAGGTGGCAACTTTAGTGGTAGGGTAATTCTTTGCTATTCATAAACTTACATTAAACAAAAATATAACGTCTTATAATTAAAATTATAACCTTCATTTTCGAAAAAGAAAAAAATTCTCATTAAATATACTTCCAAGATAAACATGAAGCTCACTTACGTATATATGGAAGTATGATTAAATGAAATTTTGGAACAAAATGTGGGCATAAAATGAATGATTTTTTTTTAAAAAAAAAAGAATTATAAATAGATATGAATGGCAAGTTGGCAAGTTGGGAGAAAAAGGCAACGGAAACGATGCGTTTAAAGTTGATAAGAAGCAGCAGTAGGAAAGTGCGATACGAGAGACGAGAGTGAACCTCACTCAACCCATTGCATTGCTTCTTCCATCCATCGAACGGTGCGTTTTGATTCCAAGGACACAACGAAATCCCTCGTTTTCTCTGCTCTCAATTGCCTCAGACCAAAGAGATCCGGCACTTTCACCTTCTTCCTCTTCGTCCATACTTGAAACTCTAATTCTTGTTTTGTGATTGCAGGTACTATCATGTGTGAAAATATTGCTTCCTACTTGTCTTGATTTCGATGGACACTACTGTAAGTTTGTTTCTCCGCGCTTCCCTTTTATCCCATCATTTAATTTTACCACCAATAATATCGCTTTTCCAGCTTCAGAATTACAAAATTTAAATAAATAATTAGGCTTTTCGTATGTTGGCTTCTTAACTACATTAATGTAAAACAAAGTTTTAACTATATGTAAGTGAAATTCATGAATTGGAATGCCTCAACCATCAACATTAAGAATAGTCAATATTACTTCCCAAATGTATGGTGTCTGAGTCTCTGTTATCTGTAATTAGTAATTACATTATCCACTTTCGTTCAGGATAAGGTAGAAAAGGTAGCTTGTGTGATTGGTGATCGATCGACGAGTGATGTTGTTGTGAGGCTACGAACGCAGGAAGGTCGAGATGATTGGCTGTATTGCCACTCAGAGGTTCTTATAAGAAACTGCAAGTATTTTGCTGATAGGCTATCTGAGGACTGGCCAACATGTCAGATCCTTGATTCGCGTAACTGTGTCGATGTCTATTGCCAAGAATTGGATTTTGACTATCATGTGAATCTTATTCGTCTTCTCTACATTGTTATAGATGGTTCAGTTGATGATTTGTGGCATGGTGTTAGAAATGCTCTAGGTGTTCTCCAGGTGGCGGTTGAGCTTGGATGCCCTCAAATTGTTACTGCCTGCGTGAACTACTTAGAAGCGGTCACCTGGGAAGAGGCTGAGGAGGAGGAGATATTGAAAATTGTTCCTCGGATGGGATTACCGGCTGAGCCCATCCTGGCTAGACTTCAACCGGTTAACCAGTCAGCTATCATAAACATCTTTGTCTCGGCCATTCGCTTTGCTACTTCATCGCCTGCAGCACAAATGAACGATCTTAAATCTTCTGCACAAGAGCAACTTGAGTACATGCTAACTGAAGATGATGATGCCCCTTTATTGACAGCTGATGACGACATAAAACATGAGGTAAAAGACTGTGTGAACAGACTATTTTCCAGGTTTAACAACTCACTAATAGCCTTGTTCTGTAGCTCCACAGAATCGCTTTCTGAGGCTGGAAACATTCAGTTGTTTCAATCCTATTTGACTGATTTGTCTTGGGTTTGTCAGATATTGAGTAAGTTGGAAATAATGAGGGAATTTGTTGAGTATTGGTTTGATGCATCAGAAAAGATTGTCAAGGTGCTTGAGCAAGGAATTTCTACAACTGAAGTCATTGAGATAAAGCTGCGAGCTATTGAGGTGACATCGAAGGTTTTAGAGGCAATTGGGTATGGTAATGTTATATTGCCAACTACAAAACGTCTTCAGGTTTTGAAAGTGTGGCTTCCATTTGTGAGGGTTACAAAACCATTGATTGATTCTGTCACAATGAATTGTGAGAATGCCATGGTGCTTAAATTAGATGGCGAATTGTGGCAATCCCTGGAATCCACTTTTGTCTCTATCATTCTTGCATTGCCATCAGGGGATCAGGCAGAGGTTTTAACTGAATGGTTGGAAAATGAGTATATGCGGTATCCAGACCTGACTGAGGCATTTGAAGTATGGTGTTATCGGTCCAAGGTTGCTAAGAGAAGACTATCAGTGCTAGGGGATGAGCATGCAGTGACCAACCCAATTTGATGTTTCACAAATTCTGTTCTTTATATCAGTTACTAATCCAAGATTCCTATCTAATTAAAGCATTTAGAAGAGAAACATCATCTCTTTTTTGCACGTGAATGGAAAATTTTGTAGGAGGCATCTAAAATCTCCGCTTTTCATCAATTCAATGTAAATTACGTTGAAGAGTTTGTAAAATGTTGTATTTCTAACTGTCAACTGTAGATGATGTATTTATTTCATAGTAAGCAAAATCATGATACATCATACATAACTGACAAGTATACTTGTAATTGATGATGATTTTGCTTGGGTATTTCTATTTACTTGGAGGTTTTGCACTAGTCAGTTCTTGCTACTTGGTTTGGTAACACAATACAACGCATACTTGTGATGTCCTGTGGTAATTTGTTTCAGGGACAAAAAAAAGGTCATTTTGACGTTTACTTTTGCCCGGATACAGAAAAGTGCAAAGTGCAAACTGCAAACTGCCAAGGAAAGAATTCTCCTAGCTTCCAAGGAGCATCGTATCAAGGTAAAAGATAAAATAGAAATTAATAGTTTGTGTGAGGATAGAATTCAAGTAATTGCTAGGAAGATTGAAGTTTAGATTTTTGTGTCACCATGTAACCTGCAAAACAATTCCATTTCCCAAATCCTATAGGCGCCCCTTTTCTTCAACAGGTCAGAAGTAAGCTGCAAACATAATAAAAAACTGACAAGTTCATATACCCTTATTGGTTGATTGAATACATAAACATTCATTCACGCACAAATATTCCTTTTCCTTAGTTGAATGGTTTTGTGCGGTAGGTATTAACGATGTTGAATAGTAGCGGCACTCATAGGAAGGTGGAGGTAACACAGAATGATGTTTTAGTTATTTCATCTTCTTTTTTTTTTTCACAAATTAAATTATATGGAGTTGTACGAAAAATATAATAAAAATATTACCTCTGATCTTAATATACTTGGTATATGCAATCGAATATTTTACAACAACGGCTAATGCAATCTTAAATTCGATAGTTAAAAACATCGTTTTCTAAACTAGGGAGATAAATAGTAATAATCTTCAGTGAATTCTTGCCAAAATTGTGACATTTCAAAGCATCATACCGGATTGATTAAGGACATAGATAAGATGTTGATCGTATTTAGTTTATATGTTTTTGTTCAATGAAAGAAGTGTTACTAGACTAATTTGTTTTGGTCAATTACTAGCTTTTATTTAAAGCAGGACGGATACAGGGGAGAGCAAGCGGTGGGTCTCAGCCCACCTTCTAAAATATTTTTGAAAAAAAGTTAGATATGCTTTTCATCTCTCAAACTACATCAAATTTTAATTTTAGTCTTTATTAAATTATTTTATTTTAGTTTCTACATTTTTTAAATTATTATTTTTGGTCTTAATAACTATTAAATAATAACATGATTAACTCAAATATTGTCATGTGTCAATTTTGTGTCACATGTCATTTTTTTTATGAAGTTGCCTCAGTAACAGGATCAAAATTAGTAACTTAAAAAATATAGAGAATAAAATAATTTTATAAGAATCAATATATATATATATATATATATATATATATATAGAGAGAGAGAGAGAGAGAGAGAGAGAGAGAGAGAGAGAGAGAGAGAGATTTAAATATAAAAAATATTATTATTATATATTTTAATAATAAAATTATGTAAATTTATAAAGCCAACACAATTAATATCTTTAATATATATCAAAAAGTATAACATGTATATTGAAGTCTGTTTATTTTTAACCCCTTTTACTTTAGGTGTTGGATCTGTCCCTAATTTAAAGATGATATCTTTGGTCAAAATAATTGCAAATAATAGAGGGGGGAAAGCAGGAAACATTAATGTGAATAAATTAGTAGGACACAAATGTCCACGTATATAATCACAGTGAAACTGTATTTTAGGAAAAAAAAATGGTTTTCACTTTAAGAAGGAATTCTTTTTCTCTCAATTATAGTTTTGCCCGACAAAAAATACCTGATAAATTAATTAAAGGTAAAAAAAACACTAATTTTTAGTTGAAAGTTATGAAGTTATTGATTTATAAATATTTGATAAAATTAATTGATAAATATAATATGATATAAGAGAGTATGTTTGTACATGTTATTTTTTCAATTTATAGACAAAATATATTGTTTTGCGTAATTAAAGCTTTAGATTTTTCAGTTTATTTTAAACTCTCATTTTATTAAAAATTAAAATAAATGGTATAACAATGTAAAAATTAAAAGAAATAGTGAAATGTTAAATATAAAGAAAAAATAGAAAATTTTATTAAAGTAATGAGGATAAAAATAGAAAAGATATAGGTTCTAAGTTTAAGCCTTTGTTTGGATCTAATGAAATAGGGTGAAAAAAAAATAATGAAAGAAGGGATTTAGTAAAAAAAATATATTCTCTTTCCTAGTTTGAATGCTTTAGAAGTTAGCGAAAAAGAATGAAAATTTTTTGGAGGTCCCACTAAAAAATTCATTTTTTTTGTCCCGTAATAAAGAGGAAGGATCATGGTGGGTTTTACATATTTTTTATTTTAATGTTTTTTATTTTAAATAATATTTTATATAGTGTAAAAATATAAATATATTAAAAAAATGTATTGTAAAAATTTTATTTTTATATTTTTATAATAATTTTTAACATAAATATTTATTTATTTTTCATTATCTTATCTATTTAAACAAGTGAAGAAAGTTTCTATCACTTTTTTTATACTCTCTTATCATTTTATTACTTTCTTTTTTTCATTTCTTTTCTTTCTATTCCATTTCAATTCATCATCCAAACAAAGCTTAAGCACTTAAAAAAATTGTCATGAGAGATACTCTCATTTATCCAACATATCTATTCTGATTAAACAAGTTTATAAACTAAATAAATAAACTATAAGGTAGTTAAAATGACTTGTAAAACACACTCTATAATCATGCGAATATTTAGTCAAATTATAAAAAGAAAAAAAAAAAGGAGAATCAACCTTATCAAATGTAAATAAAGTTAGGCCAAAGCCAATTTATGTTGTGTTCAATGCGTGTTAAAGTCGTGTAGCTATCGTGTGCCAATTTTGGACAATCGTCATATGGGTGTCTCATGCATGTTTGTGTTAAATTGACATGCCAACTATCAGTGTTGGTGCTGCAGGAACTGGAAAAAGATAAACAAGAAAAAGCGTAAAATCTTTAGCAACAACACGAACCTAAGAATTTTCAGATTATAGGAGCTAGGCCAAAAAAATGCAATATTAGTAAAAAGAATATCGTTTTGATTTACATATTAGCAAAGATCAACAACAATTTAACTGAAGCTTAGAAGCTAAAATAATCTATCAGGTCTGTTTTTTTTTTTTAATTGAAGTAATTCATATTACATGCCTGATAGGTGACTGAATGAATGCTACTAAAAATATTAAAAAAATAGAAAAATCTCGTTTTTGTGTTACCGTAAAGGGTTTTTGTTTCCTGCTTAGCAACCTCTTCAATTTCTGAATGGGGGTCAAATTAAACAAACATTTTTATCTGTGACTAAGCGATTTCAATTTACCTCTGTACTCACTAAAAATTTTGAGTAAATAATCAAATCAGTCTTTGAAAAATATGGCATTAGTAATATTTATTCTTAAATGACGTAAGTTGTGCTACAAGTCTTCAAATATTCATAAATCAGTCAAATTAATTTCATGTAATACATCTCCAAAAACTAATTTGACATTAATTGCTATTTAAGGACCTTGAATTTGAACATGTTTTTTTTTTCTTTTACAAATTCATAAGGAGTTCAAATAACCTAGTTTTCAACCGGTATACGAAGAATGGTATATCCAATCAAGTAATAACAATTCAAGAGGTGTATGTTAGTGAACTAGCTTATTTGTTCCAGTACTTTATAAACTTCATAGCATAAACCGGGAAGGCAGTGAATCCAACGGAAAACTGCAATTATTAGTGCTGAAGTAAATATAGATTTTAAACGTAAATATAAACATACCAGATATATAGTTTTAAACGTGATTTATGTATGGTTTTGAGCAGTGAAACACAAAACTCTTCAGTGACAAATTTTGTTTTAAAGATATTGCTAAATTTGCTACTGAATAGTCACGGAACTCATCTAGATTTTACTTCCATTTATTACATTTTTCTAGATTAATTTGTGGCTTCAAATTCACCACCATAGAAGGGTGACCATTCTTTGAAAAAATGGTAATTGATTCTTGTTTCTTCAAAAGGAGGATACGTAGAATATCACAACATATATTTTCAATCGAAGATATATTTGTATCTTTACCAAATTGAAATTTATGACAACAATCCATCTATCCCACCTTCAGAACTTACAAAAATAATATACAACCTCAACCATATACTCTCAAATCCTAAGCTATCTAAGAACTCAAATGGTTCTATGCAGGGTATAAACCTATACTAAAGTAAAATTCCTTCTTTCTTTACACTACAAATTTTCACCACCCCCCATCATAAGCAGGGGACCAAGAAGAAATTGTGAGCAAGTGCTAGTGTGATATCACATGGCTCACCTTTTAATGTCTTACTTAGGCAACAAAGTCTGGCAGCAATTGTGCGGCAAACCTCTTTGGGTTTTGCATGTTGATACTCTCATAAGCAGCTGTAGAGTGAGGAGAGGAAGTGTTTATTGCACCGAACTCATTTGGTTCTGCTATGTCCAAACTTCTACCCAGTTGAATGTTCTGATTTGGGAGAAATGTTTGATGGGTTCCAGGTAAAGAGTCAAGACCAAGAGTGAGGGAAACCCCATTACCTGAAAACCTTGGGGTAAACTGCTCTGCATCAAATCTACCAATATCCCCAATAGGGTACTGTCCAAAACCACCAATGAAGTTTGTTTGGTTTCCCATAAAAGAAGAGCCATCTCTCCCTTGCCTTTCCTCTCCAAACTTCATTGAGAGTTGCTCATTGTTTCCCTCATTAGGCTTGACATCCATGTTAATTGAAGGGATGCCATTAGGGGAATGCACAATCTCATGGTTTCTTGGTTTCTTGGGACTTCCTTGTGTGATCCCTTCTAGTTCTGATGACCCAATGAAGCTGAATCCTGATTGGTTTCTTACATTTCCACCAAGTGGTGATGTTGATGGTCTAGAAACTGATACTATTGGAGTGTTCTGGCTCTTAGAAACGTCTTGTTTAGAACTAAAACTCTTAGCTTCGGTTTCATTGGTAGGACCTTTCTCTTGTGGAGCTGCCATTTTCATAGAAGAATCATCATTGCTCTTGCTTGACTTATCCTCAGACCCATTTTGCTCATGCTCCTTCATCTCCTCCAAGTACATTTCTTCCACCATTGGCTTCCAAAGCCGAACTCGAGCATTTATAAACCAATTCGAAACCTGTCACATTCCAAACCTTATTAATACAAATAGGCAGAACAATTCATCAGAGAAAATAGTTAAAGAAATTAATTACCTGGCTCCTAGTTAGCCCTGTTTGTTTTGCAAGCATGTGCTTGTCTGAATCCTTGGGATAACTGTAACCAAACTCAGTTATCTCAGCACAAACATTTAAAGTAACAAACATTAAAAAAATGTGTTCTTTTAATGAATATTATAGTGTTCTTCGAAGGGTGCTTACGGGTGGAGGAAGTGTTCAAAGAGCCAAGCACGAAGAACAGAAACGGATCTTTCAGGCAATCCTCTCTGGGGTCTCCAAGCATTGTGCTGGATCATTCCCAATTGTTGGAGAGCTCGTTGTTGCCGTAGATGATGATCAACGTATTTGAGCCTTGAACCTTCAATTTTTCCTCCAAAGCAATCTTCTTCTCCTAAGCTCTTATTTGCAGCTCGAATTTGGCCTGTGATTGCATCCTTCAAACACCGAAACTGCTTTGAGATTGTTTGCAGTGCAAGGGCAGTGTATGTCCTCGCTGATCCAATCCCTGCAGCTTGTTCAAACGAAGAAACCACAATCTCCATCTGGTGATGGTACTGTCTATACCTTTGCTCCACCTTCAATCAACAATACCAAAATAAACAAGTCAATTATCCATCCAACCTATCCATTGAACTCTATAAAATTTTAATAATCATTTAGTGTTAAATGCTTTTACACCCGCAATTATGATCACAGTTACGATGCAATTTAAAACCATTGGCTTGGTAATCTTTTTGTGGCCTAACTAAATATTCATTCATTAGTCAATAGATTAGATGAATCTATCAGCTTGGCCACATGTAAATCTTGTCAAAGTCATATATACTTATTAAGTCCATGTTTGAATCGTAATTTTTTTTAAAATGATTGTTTATTTTTTGGAAAGGATTTGTATAAAATTATTTAAAACAAATATCTTAAAATAAGCTTGAAAAAAAAAACACCAAGACCATGAATAAAGCCAAAAACACTGGATGAATTGAACAAGACATACCTCATCAAGCATGCTGATTAGCTTTGCTTTTTTCATCTGAATTTCTTGTCTTTCAGCAGTTGATAGCTCGGAGCTACGTTTCCCGCTTCCCTCCCCACCAACTGAACCATCTCCACTGGCTGCAGCAGATGACTCCCCAATCACCTTGCTCTGTCCACCACTCTTCTTTGCCAATTCAGTACCAATCCCATTGTTAACATTCACAACCTCTTCTAGAAGCTCATGCGTTGCCTTCAAATACTTTGAGCTCAAAAGCACACTCTGAATACCCGAAGCGCCATTATTAGTAACCCCAGAAGCGGAAGACGGCGACCCACCAGACACGCGCAGCTCATCGCTTGACATCGCCGGCGCCTGACCCTCCCGAAAAGACCCAAACCCCGCCTGCTGCGAGGAGAGGCTCAGAGACAGCCCCTGCTGCGCGCGTGGGGTGTCACGCGCCGCTGAGTTGGGGTCAATGGCGTTCCAGGGATTGTACTGCATGCGTGGCAGGAAGCCATGCAAGGCAGAGACGTCGTGATGCGCGTGCATGGAGTGGTGGTTGAGGTCTTGAGAAGCGGGGAGAGGTATCCCAACGAATTGTTGTGTGTGAGAAGGTGGCGCGTGAGAGCTGAAGGAGTTGTTGTTGCTGGCAACGGTGGCAGCGTTGAGGAATACGAGGTTGCCAGCAGCGTGGGAAGGCGGTGGCTGCGGCGGTGCGTCAGAGTAGTGGATGTAACCAGGATTCATGAGGACGAGAGTTTGGAGTCCATCAGCACCACCTGATGGGATTTCGGAGTTACCATGAAAGTATGTAGCCATTGGTTTGGGATAAAATAGGTTGTTACTTCACTGAAAAGAGAACACTACGTTAGTTACAATAGGCTTTCAAAGTTCACATACCACAACCCTTTGTCCCAACACACAATTAAAAAAAACCAAAACAACCACCTCACAAACACATGTAGTTGTATTTGTGTCGTACCTTGAGCCTTGTGATGAATCTTGGTACGATTTTTGGATCAACCCATCAAACAACTCCCAATAATTGATGCTGGTAATTTCTCTATCAGAAGAATCCTGAGGACAAACAGTGAAGAGGGAGAAATATTAATGATGAATCTGTAGAACTTTAAGGTCGTGGTTCACTCATTCCAAATTACTTCTTTGTGCATATGGTTTTGTCATTTGTGTTGACATCCTGGTGTTCCAGTTCCATGAAGCTTAAAAATTGAAAGAGGAGAAGTAAAGGGGATATATGAAGTTTGAGGCTTTTTATAAAGAAAGAGATGCGATTATAAAATTGGAGGAGAGATTGAGACAGAGAGAAGAAAAGAAAGAAAAGGAGAGAGTTCATTATTTATATTTATATTTATATATATTAATTAGTTAATGGAATTATGATATGGTGGCTATAGTATTAGTAGTATACCTGGTGTGACAGAAATTGGAGTGCGCACGTGCTTCATGATCGTCTCTGAAGTGCAAAGGAAAGAAGAATTTCAATTACAGTGACAGAAACCTATGAGAAATGGATTTAAGAGACAGAAAAGAGAGGGACATAGACAAGCACGCACACGCACAGGCACAGTTAGACTCACCCACCGAAGCAATACGGTTATGGCTAACATACATGGAAGGAGAAAGAAATAGATGCATCAAACTTACCCACCTGTCAACATGCATATGTGATCTATCTATCTTTGGGATTTCATCAGTCCCTTCACTTACAAAGAGGAAAGCTCTCTGTCAGACTCAAATCCTCTGCAATTCCACCCCAACTGAAAAGGGCAAAAAAGGAGTTGAAGAGAGAGATGGTTAAAAAGACTCCGGAAAAAGATGCCCATCTTTATTCATCTCATTATCCACACATTTATGGCCATTTTCTTTTTAAAAAATTGTTTTTTTAATATATCAAATTCTGGGTTGGGGGGAATTTGTGAGAGCAACGAAGTTTACATGTTTCACTGGATAATATTTTAAAGAGAAGTACCTGTGGATAGATCAAAACAGGGGAACTTCTTTTGATTTGACCCTCTCTTTTCAAATCATTTGATGCACAAGCCAAGCAAGCACCCTTTGATGAGCAACAAAGAACTTTTGAAGAGAGAGAGAGAGAGGTTCTGTGCTGAGAAATCTATAAAAATATATAATGAGAATGCAATCAAGGTGTGTCAGAAGATACAAACAGCTGAAAAACGACGAAACGTCTTCTTCCACAAAGCTTAATTAATTGTTTGTTTAATAAGAAAAAGAAAAAGAAAAACAAAGGAGGAGGATGATGATGGACAACAAGCGGGTGGAGCGATCTCATTGCTCATTTCTCCATTAAATATCTTCTTGTCGTTTTCACAATTTCCATATTTTTCTTATCAACTTATTTGGGAATTTTTTGTGGTTGGATGCCTGAGTTTGAAGATAAAGCAATTAAATTGCTAAGGAACACAGAACCAACTACCATAACACCAACTTTAATGCTTTCAAGCTGAAAATATATTTTTCAAAATTATTTTCCTGTAATATTTACAGTTGTATTTCCCTGTAATGATTATCTCTTAAATTATTGTTTTTTGGGTACATTATTTTCTCTTAGACTTTACCAATATTACCATCCAGTATGTAATTTTGGCAGATTAAAAGTGTATTCGAAAAAAGAGAAAAGTAAAAGAGAGAGTTAAAAAAGCAACGGGTCCCAATCAAGTGCATGTATGATGTGTACATGAATCATGAGCCCCTAAATAAGTGGTCCCACCTTGGCGCTCATGCATCAGACCTATACTAGCAGACATCAGCATATCATAATGATCAATAAAATAGAAAAAATAACAGGTCAAGAATTTTGCTTAAATTAATATTTTTACGTTTTTCTTTAAGAATTTTATTCCTTCTCCCATTTTCTCATCCCAAAACACGAAATCCCCTTATTATCATAACTGAATTTCTTTCTCAATGTTTATTCAGGACTACCAAAGGATTACTTGACTTAAATGTGTAAAATTAAAATCGAATAACCATAGAGTAGAAACAAACAGACAAAGAATAAAATGCAGGACCCAATGAATAATTAGTAATAACCCTTTCCAGCATGTTTGAGGTAACCCCATCATTTGCATGGAAAGACAGAGAATAACCATATTTATTAAAATTCTGAAGTGCAACGGCCATTTTCTACGTCGCAGCCTTTAAAAGTTTTCAATCACCATCAGTAACTATTATTGTGTAAGAATGATCAATTTAAGACCTGTGTGTGATGTTAATAGGACTAAAAATTTTAGCAGTCTTGGACATTCATTCATGTAGCTAGCTTGGGTATCAAATATCATCCATCCACAAAGCAAAGTAATGTGTATAATGGTAGGCGCTATTAATTAATATATACTACTAAATATAAAGAGGTTTCTATGAATGGCCTTTTTATAATCAAGCTGTCATTCTCGCAGAGATCAATGTCAATAGTATTTATTTCATACTTCTCTTGGATTCTTTCGTGAAAACTAATGTGAACTTTTTGTTCTCGCTCAAGTTGCATTAATAAACAAGTTTTCAGTTTTCACAGCTAGTAAGTAAAAGCACATTGGATCTCCCGCGGACACTTGTTAAAATGAGGGTAAAAGGTTATGCTCAGTTACTCGTGAATATTCATGTGTCAGAGCCTTCAATAGTTCAGGGTGTACTAAATCTTAAAGTACACAATCATCTAGACCCGAATGTGGTTGTTTTCTGTCTTTTCTATTTTATTTTAATCTCTTAAAATGGTACAATTTCATTGATTTAGATTGGGTGCAGTGTGCATTCAGTGCAGTCATTGGTTGTGCACCATACGATCTTCATCCAACGATCAAAATAGCCATGTTAAATCTCAAGCTGAAGATGTACTTCTGCCTGTTAGTTGATTTTAAGTAGATGCTGCACAATTCTATCAGTGTACAAATGCACCAAAGTTTAGGTGAAATTCTTATCATAATACTGCTAATATATGGTTTTCTTAATATTAATTTTTAAGATTTTTAAGATTAAATTTAGATGATTAATAATAATTTTTATATTTATATAATTTAATATAATAAATACATTTTAAAGATTTATTATCATTAATTTTTTAAATTTAAATTTTAGAGACCAAAATTAATAAAATTTTGCTTACATTTTTATAGCACACATTCCTTTAAGAAAGAAAACCTCCACTTTCTTTTCTTTTTCTTTTGAAAAAGAAATCCAAAAATATAGTAAATAAATTTATTATATATATAATATTTTTAAATTTTGACAAATTCAATTTAATAATTGACATGTGTAATGACATTTTGTAAAAGCGTGTATATTTTTATTTTAACTAGTTTATTAAATCACAATGCACAGGAATAGAATTTGGTAATAATCATAATAATAATAATAATTATTATTATAACCAACAATATTATTATTTATATATAATAATTTTTATTGAAATAATAATTTATTATTCAATTATTTTTTCAGTTCGTGCAATATATTAATATTTTATTTTAATATATATATATATATATATAATTTAATAATTAAAAAAAGGTTTTATATTTTATCAATAATTATATATAATAAAAAAAATTTAAATAATAATTTTTTAAAAAATTATTTTGACTTGATAATATTATCCATTAAAATGATAAATATTTAATAAAATATAATATATTTTAAAATAATACTTGCATTGTGTAACATAAAAAATAATTAAATGTTAATAATTAATGTATAGTATTAATCATTTACTTAAAAGATAATATTTTTAAAAGTAAATTTAAATTTGAGAAAATAAACATTTAAAAATATATAAAAATTTATATAAAGTAATAAGCTAAAGTTAAAAGATATATTTTAAAAATATAATTTATACATCATTCTTAATTAATTATAATATATATATATATAAATAGAAAGAAATTATCTTCTTACACTAGTATAACTCTAAAAATTTTTATACTTAATTTAAGTCTTTTATTTATGTGAAGTAATAAATTATAACCCATTAGATGTAAGTTAAATATATATATATATATATATATATATATATATATTATAGAAAAAAAAACTCTACTAATAGTTCACCTTACAAATAAGACTTTTATTTATAATATACATGTTGATTTATATTTTTTATGAGTAAATAATTCATTTAAATGCTTGCTGTTTTTTTTAAGTTAAACATTTTCCCCAACAAACAAAAATTCTTGTTAAGGAAGAAGCTCATATTTAATGTTAAATGTTTTTAATAAAAATTTTTTTTATGAAAAATACTGTAAAAAAATTACATATTACCTTGTGTGTAATTATTTACATTATAAAATCAAAGGTAAAAAAAAGTAACTTAGACAGTTCAAATTTTTCCTTGGGATTTAACTAAGATAACTGGAGCATGTTTCTTAGTATGTAATATGTAAAAGTAAAACTATCATAGAATCCCATAGCTGCCTAAGAAGGTGGAGGTTATCTCCATGATTATCGTGACACAGAATTCAGTTACTTTGGATATTATGTTTCCGTAGAGAGACAAGCTAGAATTAAGCATAGTATAATATAGTAATTAAACAACTATGTAATTAGTTATTGTTTACAAAATCTCCCAAATTATGTTATAATCATGCTTTTGATATAGTTTTTAATCCAATTTTATTTTTTTATCATTACAATAGACACTTGGGAGCCAATAAGCGGCAAAACATGTACAAGGCCGTACTAATGTCCCTTAAATGAATTTGATTTTGTTGATTTTGAACGAACTAAACAGATGAATGGCACACATCACATCACAGAAACCCCAGTCATTGATGATCCTGAACTCACTCAGTCGATGTTTATGGGTGTGACTAAATATAATATAAAAGGGGATTTTGTAAGTGGCCAGGTATGGTCCTTTTGTATGTATGCTCCATCTATTTCAATATTGTTATTATGGTACTCTTTGCTTGCAGATGGTTGTCTCGCCCTTTTCTTATTTCAATTTCTTTTCTGAAGAAAATGACTTGAAAAGAAGAAAACACTGAAAAAAGGCCCTAGATTTCCTACTTAAACAACTATATGTAGTTAGTATATGTCAAAAGAGGCCAAAAAATAAAGATAGCAAAGGTCAAAGCCGATACGTGGAAATAGATACAAACACAAGTCATAAATGTACGCACCAATCATAAAATTCTATACAAAAGATCGAATTTACAAAATGAGTAGCTAGTGGAATATGTTTTAAAAAAATTAATCAGAAAAGTATAACTTGATCTTCTTTTCCATTTAAAAAAATCAAGGGTGAAAAAGTGAAATTGAAACTTCCAATCTCAAGCTATGAGGTGGGGTTAAAGGGGCATAGTAAAAAAAATGAAGGTACACTGCAACGTGTGGTAGATGGTTGACCGGGCAATGGCACAGAACGGTGAGGGATGCATGTATTTCAGAAGAGGACCCATGTTTTTATTAGGGTGGAAAAAGGAGAGAGAGTTTGTTTGGTCGTAATTCTCTTATCTTTGATGAAAGAAATACCCGTCTAAAGACGCAACTATTATTTGGTTTTGGTATGCAGTAGGAAGCAGCTGAATGAGCCAAGACCCAAATAACAGCTCCCTAATATTGCCACAAAAGTAAAGGGGCCACAATATACCTACTTATACCCCACTTGCTGCCACCAAGCTCTTCTTTCCCCAGCATCTATATATAATTAATATAAGATCCCATTAATATGTATGTATATCTTGGTAGGGGCTTATCCAACAACACGTACATATATATATTTGTATGACTACACGCAACTGCATTAAAAAATAAACAAAGAACACACACGGATTTTCCCTTAAGATTCCGATGATTTTTTTAAAGGGAATTAATTATTGATGTTCATTGAGGAGATGATTATATATAATAAGTTTTTCTTTTATGTGTTTGGTCCTGTAATTCTAAAGCAGGCGGCTATTGTGCCCCAACTTTTGCCCACCTGGGTACCTCTGGCATTTTGTTTTGATATGTCTAACCTCAACCTATGGTTTGGTCGATTGGTCGTGCTTTGGGTGTCGTCAAGGCTCAAAAGTCAAGAGATCGACCAGCTTATAGAAGGTGAGAACCATTGTCAAGTTCATTGAATCTTTTTGACATGACTCCACTCGTTTGTTTTATTGTTTTGTTGGAATTGCCATCTCCTCCTCTTCAACTCACGTATAACTCACTGTTGGGGGGAAATAAAGTAAGTCAATCCTTAACTCAATCAATTAAAGTACATCAAAATACAACATTCTAATTCAGAAAAGCAATTACCATTTTCAATCTTTCAACAAATTAACACA